CAGATGGAAAGTAGTGTCATTGGCATGATGCCCTATCTGGTGACAGTTAAAGCATCATCCTTCTTTTAAGTGTCTCTTCATTTCTGGTTCAGAGAGTCGGTCTACTTCCATGGCATCATCCCTTTGAGGAGTGAAGTGGCGATCCCCATACTTCTTCTTCTTTTGGAAGGATGGGTTTTCTCATCTTTGGATAGCTTTTAATCTTTGAAATGCATTATCCAAGTTAATGCAGGTGGCAACAACAGTTTCAAAGTCATCTAGACTTTCCCTGGTATGGTAGAGATTGTTACAAAGACCTTTGTCAAGTCCTTCACGAAAGAACTCTACTTTGGTGACATTCTCGATTATCCCTGCTTTGTGGGCAAGAAGGCGATAGTTGGAGATATAGGTCTGGAGATCTCCTTTCATTTCAAGAGCCCGGACTTTAGCCATAGCTGTCCCAGCCAGGTCAATGGCTCCAAAGGCTTCTTTAAATGCAACTTTGAAGTCAGCCCAGGTTCCGTATCCGATGATGGTTTCGGCTGTGTTCACCCTTTTAGGATTCTGGGCAGCCTCCATGAAGTCTTCTTTCCAAGCAGCAGTGTTGCCCTTGGTCATAAATGTTAGTGTGAAGATAACTTTCTTTTTATTGCTGTCGTAGATCTTGTCATTGATGTCAAGGTATGCATTACAGTTCAACATGAACCTATGTGATTCGTCGCGGTCTCCATCGAATTCAGGAGGAGTACCAATCTTGCTTTCTGTTTCTTTGGTAGTCATGGCATTCAAAGGTGGTATGGGCAGTAATGCACCTAGGTTCAGGGCTCTGATCAAGGGAGTTAACGAAGTCGTGGTGTCAGGGGACGTCGCAGATGGCAGTGTCTATGGTAGGACTTTAATCTTTTTTACGACTGGGATAAGTCGAGCTGTCTAAGTCCGAATGGACGATCTGCTATAAGCAAGACAGACATGGTTTCTTCTCTCTAAAGAGAGGTCAGAAGGTTTCTGGCTAAGGCGAGTGTAGGCGACTCCCTTAGAATAGTGTTTCTTAGATAGCAAGGTTGGAGACCTTGCTAAAGGACGAGTTCCAGGTAAAACCCAGTAGATTAAAGTGAGGAATACAACCGGTAACTACTGTGCTTAAATAGACCGTATGGAGCGCACAGACCAGGCTAAGAAAGGAAGGCATAGGATGCGCTATCAATGATAGAAGTACAAGAAGATAGTAGGGTCTGAAGATAAGGGCTATGCATGGGGACAATATTGGTTGCTAACACGATAAGTGGATTTAGTGATGACATGACAAATGTACTGGAACGTGATGACCCTCTTTGTGGTCTTAACCTTCATAGTCCATAGTCCGGTTCTATAGTCAAAAGTGGGGGTGTGAGTTGACCATAACATCTTCAGGATCATATACACATCCAGCATATAAAAACATGGGCTACTGGTCACCACAAACTGTGATTTCGCCACTCTGGAGACTCTGTTTGGTACTGAAGAGGGTGATGACGGTTAGTTATTGATTGGTGGTAATAGTAGTACTCACTCTGCATTCGACCAATCAAGGCCTGCAGGACAGAGCAAAGCACCTGTTACTTCATGATTAAACCCACGGTCAGACTTAATGTTTTGAGAAAGAGGTGGTATGACTGGCTGTCCCCTGGGAACAAGCCATTCGAGGACGGCGGATTTGAGGGTCTTAGTATCATCACCTCGCGCACCAGATGCTCCTCTACCTAGCTGAAAGACAGTGAGCATAGTAATGGCATTCCAGTATTGATGACCTACCAATTCTCCTACGTGAATGATGTCCTCCTCCTCATCATTCGTCAGGCGATCCAAAAGACCAGGGTAAGAATCTATAAGTTCCATAAACACTCTGTGTTCCCGTTGATGTTAAGACTGTGCACAAAGGGTAGGACTGATTCTGAGGGGCTTGGCTTCAGCTCGTGCGCTGCGCCCCTTATCCGAGTATGTGCCCTTAATTGCAGATGACATCCGGAGGAAGTCCGTAGGACTTCCGAAGGAGTGCGGGAAAGTCCGGATCCGGATGAGTGCGAGAAAGTTCCGGAGGGGTGCAGGAAAGTTCCGGAGGAACTTCTGGAAATTACTATGGTACAGATATGTGTAATGGCTACTCAGGATGAATCCTAAGTAGAATGGAGACAGAGGAAAGGCTGCAGGGACAAAGTCTGAAGCAGAATAGGTCCGGAGGACTGTGGGAAAGTTCCGGAGGAATGTCGGGAAACCCAGAGGAGTGTAGGATCGGAGGAGTGAAGGAGTGGAGGAGCGGCCTAGGGAATTCCTCCCTAGGCCTGAGATGGATATTGACTAAGTCGGAGGACTAGAACTAGTAAGAGGACTTAGTGTGAGGTCTAGTGCGAGGACTAATATGTGTAATATTCAGACTAAAGAAATACAGGAGTTTCTACAGGGTTTATATACTAAGGAGGACATAACAGAGAATCAGTCAGTGCAGTGCAAGGCTATGTGAGGCTATGGACGGAGCATGTGGAATGCCTAACACTAGTGCATCGGAACTTAATAAAATGAAGACGAAAATGAATCAGGTACGGAAAATAAAGCACAGTCAGTTATAGGGATAACCGGATGTCCGGAAACAAGTGATTATCATAAGGGGATGAGCGCTGATTTAAGGTTTGGGTTCGGATATGAAGCATAGGTCAGATCCGGAGATCCTGGCAAGTGGATATCAGATTGAGTGTCCAGGTTTCGGATCTGGATGTGTGGATATGCAAAGGTACAGATATCCGGGTGTACAGGCATCTGGACAGATAAAGGACATGGACAGGGGGTCCGGAGGTCCGGATGAGGCGTGGGAACATTGTCGGATGTAGGTCTGGAATATGGGATATGACAGTTGAACACTAACATTGTTAGTGCTATTAGTGCTGAGAATATTTAATTATCATAATAGTACTCACTCTGCTGGGAAATGCTCTATGGGAGAATCCTGTAATTCTTCGAGTCAGAGGATACCTGAGGTCAGAAGAGCTGGATAATTGCACAATGCAAAGACCATCCGACCGAAATGTCGTCCATGGAGAACGAGGGGATTCGACGAGGTCCTGGTCAAGACTCCAAGTCAGGAAGGACTAGCATTCACTGGGGCTAAAAGTTCCCTTACACCTTTTTTCGCAGCCCCATACGAAGTGCTGAACCACCATGCTTGCGCAAAGGACCACTAGGAGGATGATTCTTGTCGCTACTCATACTAATTGATGAGGGATCTATTGAATCAGTAATAAATAAGATGCTTTATATGTGCAAAGCCCAACAGGCACATTATTGAAAACAACCTCATCAACTGAGCGCCATCGATGTCATAAAGAAAAAATGTGCCATCCAAGCGCCATAGATATCATAACATATTACGCACCCATGTGACCTTTTATGCACAGCTCAGGACCAGGGCCCCCTCTCGAATGCCCTGCAAGGATGCATTCAAGTTGGACATGATGTCATGCTAAAGAATTTGACCTGTTCAAAATAAAATTTGATACCAAAACTCATGAATTTACTTCAGACTAACTGGAGATATAGATATGACAGAGATGGCACTTGTTGCAATTTAGTAGCGATGGAATATTGCAGAGAATAACTCAGAACCACTTACCGTGTTTCCTGGAAATTAAGGTAAGGGAGTCTTCAAGTGTGCGGGTTCTATGATATTGTATTGCAATGATCAAAGATAGCGAACGACTTCAAGTTGTGCTCACAATGACTCTAAGTCAGACACGAAATCTGAGCGTACACTGCCAGTAGCTTCCGTACTAGCATCCCCATTGAAAACAAGTTTGATTATACTATCCACAAGTCCCCCGCCATCCATCCTAACAGCATCCAAATCGACTCTCACCAACTCATTCCATAACCATCTCACAATTGAATCGCCACATGCTTCCAATAATCTCCTCCGCACCAAGTCACGGTGCAGGTGTCTCTAAGCGCCCTCTCTGAAGGATTACCATATGTACGTATGGTATATATGCAGTGTCAACACTGTCAGGGTTAGGGTCTAGTATGTCTGATAAATCAAGCTAAAGTACAGCGCACACATGGTGTCAACACCAATGTATAGGATAGGATATCACTTCCGAATTAGCCTTACTATTAGGTAGTATATTTTTTATATATGGGGTATTACTGTTACTAAGCACTACACACAGTATGAGTATATCACTACGTAGCTATAGTAAACTGTCTATAACATTGAGGCGAAGGAGGAAAGAAAGTCAGGAACACAAGGCTGATATAGTGAATAACATGCGAAGTTTAGACTCAGCCAGCAACACCTGAATGCAAACCCAACATTGTACTTGGGTGTTGCCAGCTGGGTCTGAACTTCACATTAGTCATTCACTCTATCAACTGTATCTCTCCCGAGATAGACTTCTTTCCGACTTCCACTGCACAATTCAGCCTAGAATTGTGAATATAATAGAATAACGCTTTCCAGTATTTGGCTGGCAGTGTGCCGCCATCATTGTCTTATGTACTATAGTGGATCACTGATGAATAGTACGTGAAATAAATTGCTAAGTGTACAATCACTGTTGCATATTCAATGAGTCTGGCAATTGATGTCCGACCACAATCCATTTTCGATTTGTAGTAAGTGGTTGACATTAGTCATTCACTATAAATATTGATCATGAAGAGTCGTCACAGGCTTTCTTTCCACCTCGATCATTACCATACGATACTGACACTCCGAATAGATAGCTTAAAATTGAGTAGTACTAGACTTGGGCACCAATACCATTAGTAGGATCATATTATGTTTTGGAATCGGTATTGAAAATCAACCAGATAGACTACAGACAGGCCTATTCCGATTGAAGTTGAAGTTGAAGAATGTCTCGGAAACAATGTGCGGCACCAAGTGCCAATAACGATGAATGAGCTCCAAAGCGCGTCAGAAGTGATGGAGGTGAGTCGTGACTTGTACAATACCATTAGTATTGTTACTTATCACTTATGCAGGGAGTCTGGCAATGACTGCCAGTGTAAGTGAACTACATTCAGTTCTGGCTTAGTATTCTAATAATAACCATAGTCAAAAAATCTGTACATTGACACTGAAGCAGAGGAAGACCATAGCGAAGAGGATGCGGATGCAAATGTTCTTGCCGTTGAGGGTGACGGCGACCTATCTGCACAGTTGACAAACATTACGTCATTGCGTCGACGACCCACTGTCAGGGTGAGTGAAACATACAGTTCTAACAATGCATTCTGAATAACAGTTGGAGCCAAAGAATCCTTACATTGACGCTGAAGCAGAAGAAGGTTCTGATGATGAGGACAGGGATGAGTATGATTCCCTTCGTGATACCGAGGAAGAGGATGATAGTGGCCCCTCTACGCGATCGCCGAATGTTACCTGCTTGCTGGGACCGGCCGCCAAACATACTTTAGCCACAGCTATTAATGATATCATGGACAAGTACACATTGAACATGTTTAGTTTATCAAACAGACGGCTCCGTCAGACAGCTGCCTGGTCCCCAGAGACGATTCAAAGCAGGATGTATCTGTTGCTCATTTACAGTATGTCCTTATTTTCACTGCCGTTGCATGTCACTCATTGCATTTCAGGAACTTCCACCAGTTACATTGCTAAACACCTTCGGAGAAAAGGGTTCCCCATTACTGTGTCGCTTTGGGCACAAGGCCAACTTTATGTGGTTTCAGACAGTCCCAGGACCATCTCATTGTTCCTTCCAATCTCGCTTCGTCCCTCAGTGAAAGAGTATCTTTACATCTCAGATGAAGAGCATGAAGCAGTCAAATGTGCACGATTGACCTTGCCCAGTCCTGCGTGGGTGAAAATTAAGACAAGCACGCACCACAAATACCATGGCGCCATAGGTTACGTTTTTGAGGAGTCTGAGGAAAATGACAATTTCATGAAGGTATTAATCCCTCCACGGGACTTCCCCTATCCCATGCCACAGGGGTCTGTAGCACTATTTGACCTAGCCCACCCTCTGACTGGCAAGCTCACCACCGATATCATTTGCCATGGGAAAGTTGTCAGATGGACATACAAAGGAGAGCAATATTACATGGGGCTGCTACTGAAAAAATTTCACCGCTATCTTTTAGAGCTCGTCGTCGTCCCTCACCCTGATGACATTTGGTTGCATCTCCAATCTGGATGGGACACTCACTTCGTCAAGAACACTGAGCTTGCGTTTTCCATGCAGTTTTTGCGTGAAGGCGATGCAGCCAGGGTTCTTACAGGAGAGGTTCATTCAGAGATCAGTGAAGTTATCTCAATGGACCACGTGTTTGGTTCCATGTGGTTGAAAATCAACACCAATGGATTACAGAGAGAAATAGACCTTCGAGTCTGGGACGTAGAGCGTGTGTTTTGGGTCGGTGATGCGGTTAGAGTTGTAGTGGGTTCATACTTGGGGTTGGAAGGGCATATCATTGGAATGTCTGATGAGATATTTGATGTTTGTCAAGAGGATACAAAGGAAGAGGTATGTTGTAGAAAATCCTACTTAAGTATCTAACGCAGCCTGTAGATTCAAGTATCGAAGTACTACCTGGATCGTCGTCCTTTGAGACACATGCTGCAAGCACAGCTGGCACTGCCACTACTTCAAGTTGTGGAGCCTTCCCCGAACATGACCCTTTTGAAGTCGGGGATTATGTACAAGTATTTGAAGGAGAATATCTAGGGAAGTCGGGTATTGTGGAATGGTTTCCCACAGGAAGTACCATTCTATTTTTGCGGGATGCAGACCTTGACATGAACGTGGACAACATGGAAGGACCACCGCTAGTTCAAGTTCCCGTGGCAATGGTTCAGCAGACATGCCTCCCCCCAATAATTGAATACACCAAGGATAGGGGTTATGATGTAAAGCCTGGAGACTTCATGAGTGTCGTCCATGGACCTGAGTTTTGGACAACAGGCTTCGTGCACAGCGTCGACTTTCCAACGGCTCGCATGAAAATACAGTCTTCCAGTGATTACTCACTCGTCAGTCCAATGATTCAACTCGATTGGGGCATTTCTAATTTGTCACAGATCGAAGTTCCCATCAGATTCGCAATTATGTTGCGCAAAAAAAGTGTTGATGAGTTTAAGAGTGTAATCGGGAGGGAAGTATTCATTATCAGAGGTGATCTCAAGGGCTACCGAGCCACTCTATACAGCATTGCGAGCGACACCTGCACTGTTGCTATTCATGGACAAAGGCGTGTCACACTCAAACACCATGATGTTGCTACCAGGTGAGCGATGTGCATGTTTTTGTGGTGAACTAATCATTCATCAACATTAAGTTATGCAATGAGGTTGAATGGTGCAATAATTGAAGAATGTAACTTAATTTCTTTCTGCAAAATGCGGAAAAAATCATTTTTGACACCCCAATGAAGTGTGACCCCCCCCCCCCCACCCCAAGCATCAGTTCCATCCAGCTCCAACTTGAACACAGATCAGGGACCTTCCTCTTCGTCTTCTCCTGGTGTCTGGGCCCCTTGGTCCACCAGTGTTGAGGGTAACAATACAGTGCTTGACCATTCATCGGGCGTCAATGCTTCATTGACATTCGACCCCTGGACTGCCAATAATCTTGATGACATCCGTGATTGTATTGAGGCTGAAGTGGAGACATGTGCAGACCCAGGTGAGTCCTTGATGAAGGCATCACAACATCAAACTTATTGAATTTAGGTCTGCTACCATGGTTGATGAATAAAGAATTTTCTTCAATGCTATCGAAATATCATGTGTCGCTGAGAGTCTTGCCGAGCTTCATGGGAGGCCGCTTAATCAACCAATTCATGTCGACGGCATGCCCTGACCTGTTCTGCAGTGTGAATGGTCCCGCACCTGAGGAATCCATTGCAGCATACTGCACATCCAACAGTGCAGGAGCCGCCCTAAAACACTATCACATTCCTGCCAAGGATCTTAGCCCAGCGCCTCCATGCCGGGAGAACCAAAATTGCCTTGTTCTAAATGGGCAGTATCACGGGCTCGTTTTTCCTGTGGCAAAGTGTAATGTCAAATCACAGACTGTCGACCTGATCCTTATGGATGGGACTGCCTTAACATTTACATTGCGCTTTGACGAAGTGTGTCTCGTTGAACTTACACAAAATGGATAGATTTAGTACTGTGACTATCATACTATACTCTTTCGACATACATCTGCAGTGCTACCTTAGTCCATACTCATACCATGTACACTTACCATTTTGAGTTCGAAAGTTGGCACTGGGCATTACCGAACAGCATGTTGAGTGTGCTAAAGTATTTATATTTCGCATCATACACTGCCAACTGCCTGCAAACATCCATGTAGCTACAGCGATAAATATATATGATACAAGTGATGGTTGTTGGGTTTTATGCTGTATTAGATCCGAAAGTAAAAACAGCGACTGCTAACTTTCACTGTCAGGGAGAGCAATGTAGCCATTGTATTTCCAGTGATTTTTATTGTTGTGTTGATATCTAGAAGCATTTTGAATGCCAACCGATCCGCTTATACTATATGTTAGATATGCTCTGTTGAGAGAATTATGGCTGGTGATGATCATCGCTGCTCATGTTATCTCTGACTCGACATAGTCTTCAATCATGTAGGCCTGGACAGCTTGGTTTAGGACTCATACCAGCACATCAACTAAAGGTGAGATGTCCACCTACTAGCATCTGCTCTTAACTCACAACCTGACTCACCCTTTCGTGTATCAGTGTGGCATGCTCTGGTATGAAGCACATCCAAGTCATCGGGTCTGTTATGATTGCACATCTACAGATCATGGACTCCTGTTCAAATTATCCTCGGAAACGTCAGGAAGCGCGTTTTTATCTTCCTTGTGTTGCAGCAACCCTCATACTGATTGGGATATTCATCTACACTTGGACAGCAAGACCAGAAGTGCATTGGATAGTGCCAGCAATCGGTCTCACAGGCTGTTTGTCCTACACATCTCCTTCACAGATGCGATACTGACATTTCTCAAGATATCCATGTCCGGCAGATTTGTGATTTACATGGTGGTCTTTCTGTATCTCACAGATTGATGAAAATATTTTGACCTGTGCAATTGAATGAAACTCATCAATCTCATAGCTATGGGACATACACGTTGTCAGCTATTGCCAGTCAGAGCTTGTGTCGTGAGTTCGCCTCTTCCACAACTCTCGGATGCTTCTAACGCTATGAATCGCTAGGAAATTTGGCCGCATCAATCTTTCCTCTTTTCACGACACAAATGTTTGCTTGCTTGACGTATAAATGGGGTCTGACACTGTTCGGATGCATAGGTGCGGCGCTAGTGCGCATACTATGGGTGAGACAGAACTAGCTACCTGTCATGTCGTTATTAAATGAAGGCCAAGTACTTTTCTTTTATGGGTCTAGGATTCGTGCTCGAAGAAAGGTGTCACAACCAATTCTGGAGGAAGAAGAGTTGCAAGAAAATATGGAGAAGTGACTAAACATCACGGAGGAGTGATGATGAAATGCCATTGGTATTGAAAAATACTAGAGCAAAGTGTGCCAGCGCTTTGAAAGTAGACTATATAGATGCGCTTGTACTTGGATCTGACTGTGCAGCTTGAAGATCTTGGACTGATAGTAAGGACTGAATGGCAAACTCCACCCGCTGAAAATATGTTGGTGACAGGAACCCTTCATTTCCCCCTGTCAGGACGCCATTGGTGGACAAGTAGAACAGAACACCAGCATCAACTTGAAGGGCTTTCTGCAGATCAACAAAAATCACAATTTGCAAGGAGTTGCGCATCCCTATTATAGAACATGAATTGGGGAACGCATGCAGATGAGGTTTCACCTACCACTCATGACATTATCTCCCGGAATGCCTTGGGCAAGGTGAATATGATTTCGCTTCATTTTGGATAGGCCTTGTGTAGCTGACAGATATGTGAAGGACAAACTTGAACCATCTCCGAATCATCATGTAATTTACCTATGAGTTCCCCGGGCCAGGCACTAGTAAGTGTCACACATGCCGTGGATAAGCAGACATAGTAACTTATACTAGGCTGCATGTGTAGTACCTGCAAGGAATGCCCCTGATTTTCTCTAATCCACCATATCAGCGGATGAGGAGTCAGATGACTGACTCCAAGTGACCAAGTCAGCCGCTCTCAGGCTCGGCTACTAGTACTAGTAGAAGGTGAAATCATTGCTTTTGGTCTTTGTCAACGATCTCTTGCAGCTGAGAAAATTTGACGTCTCTGAACATAGGATTCGAAAGGAAGTGGTCAATGCTATTCGGAAATGTCAACAGGACTCATACAACTCACCACTTCCAACAAAGAGAATTGGACGGTCCGCATTCCAGGCCCAGTCCAGTAACTTACTAAGAGTCACTCACTGCCATGAGTCACATGTTGTGCCCACCAACTGCTAGTACCATTAGTACACGTTAGGCACCTGGACTGTCAACAAAATGGTGATTTCAGTTTTAGCAAATCGATGTAACTGCCTGGAGACATCTTTCTTGAAGAGACCAGTGTCTACAAGCAACCCTCACCCGTCGTTGTATCTGGCCGGCCTGAAATCCTACATTTCCAAACAGAACTTTCGCACAGTGATATCTGCTTGTCGAGCACCCAGACCAGGCCCAGAGAGTGGTTATGTTGATGGGTGGATGATGATGCTGAGTTGGAGTCAGTGGGCAGGTCAGAAAATCAGACGGGGTGGACCTGATGTGGCAACCACGACGAAGTGACTCTATTTCCTGGCTAGGCATCTCTGTGTCTTGCGAGTGAACATGAGAATGAAAGTAAGCAATCCTCTTGCTGTGCATGCTTCACTCGGTTCAAAGGCTTACTTTTTGTAGATGCATTTGACTTACTTGTTTATGTCTCGGGCTATGCAATGACACGTAGGCCGCCAAAGTGTCTTAGTACCGCTCTCAGCGTATGTTTCTAAGACTGGCTAAAGGTGTGCTCATTAGAAATTATGCTGTATCGCTAAACTGAGGTCATGATCAGGTTATACATCTCTACCCAAACTACTGGGTCAATAGTCGCCCCTCAAAGGATCATCTATGATAGAAATCGACGACATCAGGCTACCTCCCCATTCAGGCAACATAGCAGATGACTTCGAGATGGAACTAGACAAAGAATTCGAACACATGAAGGACCTACAAAAGGTTCAAATTACTGAAGAAACATACGAATCTGAGTCTGATCCTCGACCAACACCTTCATGTTCAAGTTGTGAAACATCAGCGCCGTTTGTGAGCACTCCACTGCAGAAACAGCACACAAACCTCGAGGCGCATCTGCGACCATTTTGGTCATCCATGTTATCATCTCGCACAATCCAAATATCTACTTTCACTGTACCTACTGTCTCAGGCAACATTGATTCGAAATGTGACACTCTTGAGGATGGTCCGCTGTATACTGAACACCTAGTCACTGGACCAGACGGTGCCTTTGCAAACCCCTTCAAGATTCCCTGGCGAGAATTATGCAGGCATCCTATAGCACAGCACAGACCATCCGACAGATCGGACATAAACTTTGAAACATGAGCTACTCATTTCTGCAAAGCTGTTACCCGAGCCTGCGCCTACACCCGCATACCTGTTCCACACAGATGTTTCAAGGAACATTTCGGTGGTCATTCCAATCACCTCTTCACCTATCCGTGTAACAACAGACATAGACGATACAGTCAAGCTCTCACATATCACGAGTGGTGCTCGTGCTGTCTTCCACAATGTTTTTTTCAAGGACCTCGAGGAGACGATTATTCCAGAGATGGGGAAATGGTACCAGTCAATGTGGGAACGAGGTGTTTGCTTCCATTACATTGTGAGTGCCATGCCACATTTCATAGTATACTCATGTTCATAATCCCCGCAGTCTAATTCTCGCTTTGAACTGCTCCCACTCTTCAAAGAATTTTTGCAGATATCCGACCTCCCGCGGATCTATTGCCCTTAAAAGTCCCCAAACAACAATTCAACACAATCCCAAATTAGTCCGTGATTTTCTGATCATTATATACCAGTAGGTCCATTCAAGCCATCATGATGATTTCAATGCTCATTGTAGTATCCTCAGCTTCACATGTGCCAGCAGCAGGTCTTTCATCTTTGGGCACCTCAAGATTAGTTGTCGTTGGCGGAATAGCTGAACTCATCGCTGGTACTATTTCTATGGACATTGGTGGTTTCTTAGCATTTTCAGCAGAACAGGATCATTGCCATTACATGCGACGCCACATACTAGTATTGGCTTGGGGGCAACAGAGTTGCATTGAACAAATGGAAAGGGAAGTATGTGCTGTACTTGTGCCCGTAGTGTCGATGAGCAGACATGCCAGGCAATCACCAAGTGTCTCAGAGATGCTGAATTTGACCTTAAAGTCAGTGCAAACAGTTCATCGTCAGACGAAGGAGTGCAGTTGCTGAGATGGAAGGACCAAGCCGGTCTGACATGGTTTTTACTCAAATTTGGAGAGGAATGGGTGTGTATTGTTTTACTTTTAAATACCGGCCATATTCATTGTTTCATTTTTAGAGGAAATCTCGATTCGTCAAGTATACTCTTCAGTGCTGATAATTGGCTTCGGATACTTGGTTGGCGGAATCATTCCCCTCATTCCATACTTTTTTGTTCAGCAAGCGCATGTAGCGCTCGTATACTCTTGTATTGTCACAGGCATCGTTCTGTTGATATTCGGAGCTGTGAAAGCTCGAGTTATGGGTGCTGGGCATGGTGTTGGAGGCTATGGTACTATATGGGGAGCAGTCAGCACTTTATTAGTTGGTGATACCGCTGCTGCTGCAGGCCACCCTATGCTCTTGTTGCATGGCTGGAAGATTCGTAGTAGCCCCTCACCAGTTACATCCGAGTCGTATGTAAAGCTTGTACTGGTATATCTACATATTGCTTAACATGATCACAACTCGGAGCCTGGGCTACAACTTGGACTCAGATTACTAATCCATGTGCCAAACAAGCTGTCTCAAGACCTCAGACTCTCAGATTGGTGTACAAGCTTACAAAGCACGTATGTCGGGTGCTTCTGGTGGAGTTCCATTTCAAAGCTAATCTCTATATAAACACTACTCGGTTGGACTACTACTACCTCTTTCCCAATTTTCATGTATGCATGTTGATGTTTTGAGGCGATTGATGTCAGTTCAGATGATATGTATACTTGTAGCAAAACTTATACAGATTGTAAGCAAACATCGTAGTACTTTATGTCCCAATTATAAGTGTATCTATAGTAGCAAAATGAAATGTGCACACCTGCAGTGTGTTAGACAAGATGGTAGGGTGTACTCCCATTCATGTAGACTCCACATAGATCAATGGAGTTACAGCCATACTTCATGGATCAACCTACAGGTATTTCAAGATGAAATCATGAGGATGCAATCATGAGCGCACCTCCGAGGATAATACATAGCCGGTACGTAGGCTCTGCCAATAAATTTCTTGACATTTACTAATAACTAAAAGATCAGCCAACCACCCATTTCGATTAAGGAAAGTGAGCCAACGCATGTAACCACAGGTTTGGGTCGCGCATTCAGCGACGTACTCCCCCCGACATATGCCTTCAGTTTGCTGGAATATTGCCACCTCAACGTATCGTTCACCTGTCCCACAAAGGCAACATGGATACCAGAAAGCATGCGCCTCATGATATTGAGCAAATAAAGAAGGGTGGATTTTGCACCCATGTCGAGTGGTTGGCCTGTAGATCAGTTGTATGCATTACTTCAGTTATAATCTCAATGCAAACAACTAATTTACCATTGAAACGTCGCCAGCTCTCTTGTGTGGCCATGGTAATGCAGTATACCATGGCATGCGGTGATAATCCTCACCAAGGTCTCCACCATCTTGGGGTTGGCTTTAAATTCTGTGGGTTCCATGGCTGAACATGCAGAAGAAGATGGGGAAGGCAGCGTGGACATCCCGGGTTGTTGTTGAATATGCCTGGCTTGCACATCTCAAAGTATATAGCCCTGAGTCTATGGCCTATAGTCTCAGTGCCATCACATTCCTGGCTATGTACGGCAGTGATGGCGCCCATTTCAGATTTGAGCCGTTATAACTCCGCCATTGCATCTTGCTGTTTTTAGGTTACCTTCAGCCATACACGCCTTGCTCTAGTTGCTCGCCCCACATGTCAGCATCCAGCTACAGTTGCGTTTGCAGGCACACTTTTACGGCGCAGGAATACTTCATTCAACACCAACACTCATGCTTGATGACAAAAAAGTGTCTTTCGTCAGCAATAACCACTTTCAAAGAGTTTGTAAGCCATAGGAAAAAGCTATGCACCTCCAAGGATGAAGCTCTCATGGTATCTGTTACAGGCATCTGTAACACCTACTGGAGCCCCTGCTCGGCCTACGCCTGCCCCCGCTCTGCTAGACTCCCCGCGCGGCGGTGCGCCGCCCGCGCCTAGAAAGACAGTGGTCTGGACCGCTATGACCCCGCCCCTGGCCTAGACGGCCTTGTACCTGATCCATGGAGGCTGTACGCCTCATGGACACCCTAGATCAGCGCATGTATACCACATGTCGCTTCATGAAGATCCGGAGCGCGCTTGGCGCTTCCTGTACCTATGCGCAGCTGCCCTTGGCGCAGCATGCTTGATCAGAGGTTAAGCCTCATGTATCTTATCTGAACCTCATGTCTTACTATCATAGATTTACGATATACTATTGATTACAGACTGAGCTAGAATACTTGTAGTACTTCCCTATAAGTAGACACAGATTATTGTACTTAGACTTTACTTTAATCTACTAGGTTCATCCCTAGAACTTGCTCATCTAAGCTTACCAACTTCCTTGTGTGAGACCGCACTTCTAAGTCGCCCCCATACGACTTAGCACGTATCCGCTAGCCCTGCATCTCGACGAGCGCCGTCTTACCGAGATCGCCGGAGGAATCCTTGACGTTCCGTCAAGGCTAGACCACGCTCAGCTTCAGTAGACTCACTCGAGTCGTCGCTGAGAAGACCTATCCTAGTTCGCACATGCCGACCAACAGTCGACGTAACAGTATCTTCACGCTGTAGAGACTAACATCTCTGTGGCCTCGTAGAGAGCTAATTATACAATGCCCTAAACACCTTCCAAACACAGCATGACCCGTATCTCATTTTGGCGCACTTGGCGCTTCATCGGCCGCTCGCCCGTTCAGGCGCTTCAGTCGCGCATCGGCACATGCATCCTCGGTTCCGTCGCTCGTCCTCCGTCCATCCATTCCATGTCCGTTCGGTTCGTTGGTGCGTATTCCTATCATATTCTCATGTATTCTGACATATCTCCGGCGCTTGCGCACATATTCCGTATGTTTCGTCACAGACCCTTATTACATATCATCACGTACTCGCTTTGCTTTCCAGCTCGCTTTAGTGCTTGACAGCGCTTAATGCTACTTAGAATATATATAAACCTTGCCTCGATGTATAATGATGATCTTCTTCTTCCCGCACATCGTTGGACTCTAAGTCTAAATCTCCATCATATCCGCTGACTGATGCTAAGCGCCAGAACTCATACGAGCGCCAATCTGCATATTCTTATACACGAACATTGTCTTACTCGTTCCCCGACTCACTTAAGAGTCGCTGCGCTCCACCACCCGCACGCGTGCTTCGCTCTCACTCAGTGTGCGCCATTGCACTTGTCGCTCAGTAGCGCTCTGTAGCGCTTTCGCTTATCGCACTTCACTCATCGTCGCACGCCCCACCAGGCTTATCCGACAGCCTGGTTCAGTGTTTCCCTCCACTATTATATATAGAGGAACCTTATCAGTAGCAATCCCCTTGGGCCAACATTAGATTCACGCAGAGGACCATCTGAGTATATCTCATACCACCCACTTTCTATCATTCTACATTCCTCACCTACAACTAGAGCGCACCGCGAGGGGATCATCTGAGAAAGCCGGTAGAGTACTCAGGCCTACCAAAGACCGCGTTGCAAGAAACAAAGCCTTAGAAGAATTTAGAAGAGAGGTTGCCTCTTCACACTTATCAACCATTCAGGAAATTTTGACTCCAGTTAAGCACAATCGCCCTCGGAACTTCTCAGAGCCCGCACGCCCAGATCTATCTCTATTTTCACCGAATCTGTTCGCGCCCACATCGCCAGTCACGCCGTCCCCTAAAGAATCAGTACATGGGAAATCCTCGGATGACTTTGAGTCACATGACAACCCCCACAACTTACCGCCGGGTGCATTTGTAGAAATGCCAAGGAACCCATCAGATCCTAATTTTATTCCTCTCTCTCCGCTTACCCCACTAACCGTTTCTAGCGCAACCATCAAAGAAGAAGCCTTATCGCGGTCACGCGTGCCCTTATCAATCGAAGCGCCGACTATTAAGAAGAAAAGGAACCCCTTATCGCGCCAAACTCAATTTGGAACCGCACCACCATATATATTCCCCCAGTCTCCCAGACAGCTCCGACAAGAATTATACAACCTGCGCCTATCATCAAAAAACTCCAGCCAGCAAAAATGTCAACGACTATTAGAATGCCGACCCGTGGTTCGGACAAAGCACCCAAATTTGACGGCACAGCAGAGAACCTCCTTGCTTTCATTGAGGATTATGAAGCATGTGCTGATGATGCGGGTCTGCTTGCCAGCGACCGCATCAAAGGCATCGCCCGCTATTTGCTGGCTGATGAGCGCGAGCTTTGGTCCGGGATTCCTGAAGCCGAAACAAGCGACTATGATGTATTTATCAAAGCAATTAAGGTAATGTACCCAGGATGCGAAGGCAAAATGCGCTATGCAGTAGCCGACCTGCAGGTGATAACGCAAAGGCAGGTGAAATCTCTGATGCCATCTTGGAAAGAATTCGGTGACTACCACTGCACCTTTAACAAGGTCGTGTATGCGCTCTTAAAGAAGGATCGCATCGGGAAATCCGAAAGGGACCGACTATTCTTAGAAGGTTTTCCGAGCGATGTGCAAGGACATATACTAATGTGGTTGATGATCAAATTTCCGGATCATCATCATTTAGACCCTTACCCCTTTGCAGACGTCCTAGCGGCGGGAGAATTCTTGATCCCACGATCAGTGGCAAAAGCCTCCGGAACCATCAGCGTGCCGGTACTAATGCCATATCCAAGCACAGTTGCATCCTCAGTACCGACACCACAACAAGTGGCGCCAGGAACTGTCGTTAAGCAGGAATATCAGGTGTGCCGACCTGGCAACTCCCTCCCTAACGGGTTGCCAAGAGAAAAACATGTATATCAGCGCTGGCAAGTGTAAGGTACACGAGACCTCTATGAAGCTTGTCTTGACAAGTGGAGATTGGATTCCCGGCCGCGCAAGTGACAGCACCCTGAAGGAGCATCTTGATAGGTATCACGCTAACAAACAGGCGAATGAAGCACTCCCTAGCGCAAGCGTGACTGCAGCGCTATATGTTCGCGCGTCATCCGAAGTCAATGTAGTGCTGGACGTAGACCCGTCCACGTTTATCCACACCGTCGCGGATCCCAAGTCTGACATAGATGAGGAGGAAGTAGACGTGTTACGCGCAGTGCAAGTGCTCGCACTAGCAACCGCCAGATGCGATACCAAGCGAGGTACTGCAAAAGGCGAAGGTAAGGGGAAGAACATCTGGTTTGATGGCGTAGAACTCGTCGGTGAGTATCGCGCAAAGCCAGCGCCCGCATCTAGGCAAGCCGCTGAAGCGGAGGAGATCGTCTCTCCTGCCATTCAAGCTTCGTCGAGCAAGGGCAAAGCGCCTGAAGTCGTAAAGGCAATAACCGTGCCTACGACAACTGCACCTCAAACAAAGGATGCGCGGAAAGCGACCATCGCTCCTGCAACTTCATCTTCATCCTCACCCGGTTTAACACATACTGACCTCGCAGACTCGACACCCTCACCATCAGCTCCATCGGCAATGAAAACAGCATCATATTGGTACTCGCACGGACTGGAAGACAAAGACGCCGACAAGCACATCCTGGAGCGCCTCCTGGATACCAGCATCAGTATTTCAACAAGGGAACTATTTGCAATATTGCCCGACGTCCGTAAACAATTCTGTGACCTTACCACCACCAAGCGCATCACGGTCAGCACAGTATCGGTCAACAAATTAACGGGACACCCAGCTTCAGAAGAGTGGATGCACGACTACGACGCTAAGCGCTTGCAAAGCGATGATGGCCGAGTAGTCGTGGACCATTTTGCACCATTGCACTGCATCCGCGCGACCACGATCGGAGGGCGGGTAGTCACCTGCGTTCTAGATCAAGGTGCCGAAGTCATCGTAATGCCGGCCGCTGTATGGAAATCGCTTGGCATTGGTCTGCGGTCAGACCATCGCTTAAACATGGAATCGGTCAACACCAACAAGGATGCAACATTAGGCGTTATCGAGAATGTACCACTCAATTTTGGAGGAGGACCGCTGTACTTTCAAGTACAAGTCATACCCCGTGCGAGCTTCAAGATCCTTCTCGGGCGCCCATTTTTCAAACTAACAACTTGTCGCACGTTTGACCTCCCTGACGGGGAGCAGGATATTTTGGTTACAGACCCTAATACGCGCAGAGAACTGCACATTCCGACGCTGTCTTGGGTAAAGTGCTGTGAGCGCTGCACCAGCGGTCTTCCATGCCAGGAACATCTGTCAAAGGTCAAGGAAGAAAAGGGTTTTTAATCATCAATGATCTGCATTATCCGTGGGGAGACAATACCCCGCATACACTCCAATACCGGTATTTTCCTTCGTCTAGTCTCAATCATTCTCGCATGCTTCCTGAAGCGCCGCAAAGTGTGCGCACTTCAAGCGCCCAATTATCGCTCTTAAGGAGCATCCCCGCATCTTTTTCTGCATTTGCGCAAAGTACTGTTTCTCCTGTTTCTTCTCATATCGCATTGCAACCATTAGCGCATTATGTGCATTTATCGTCAACCCGTTCCATTATTGATCAGGTGTCTATAAACACCTTTAATTCTTATTATTATTATGATCGTGCACTTCACGCACTGGTGTATAAACCAGTCGCGAAGAAAGCGCGCACAGTGCCTACCACTATGCCACCAGAGTATAGGATAGTGCGCCAGCTACCCGAAGACCCGCTCACCGGGTTACCAGACTTACCGACTCACCCCCCAGAATTTGAACCAGGAACCCACTTCACGTGCGAGCACGCTGAAAAGTTAGATTTGGATCCAGCCAATTGGCTATGGCCTGAAGAGCTCAAGCTAGTACACTGGCTCATTAGGGTTCACGAACTCGTGTTCACTTGGGGCACCTCAGAATGGGGCCGCCTCAATGAAACATATTTTCCGCCGTACAAAATTCCGATGGTACCGCACACCCCATGGTCGCAGCACAATATTCCAATCCCACCCGCAATCACTGGCGAAGTCATTCGCATTATCAAAGAAAAGATCTCATCCAGTGTATATGAGCCGTCGACAGCCGCCTATTGTTCACGCTGGTTCTGTGTCGTCAAGAAGGATGGCCATTCCTTGCATTTAGTCCACGACCTACAACCACTCAACGAAGTCACTATTCGCGACGTGTTGGTTCCGCCCTTTCCTGACTTTTTAGCAGAAATGTTCGCCAGGTACACGGTGTATGCTATGTTGGATTTGTATGCTGGTTATGACCAGTGTGCGCTTCACATTGATTCACACGATATGACTACGTTTGGAACGCCCCTAGGGCCGCATCGTTTAACGACGCTTCCACAAGGACACGCTAACGCTGTACAGGTTTATCAAGGCGACACCGCATTCATATTACAGCACGAAATCCCGCAATTCACGTCGCCGTTCATAGACGATGTGCCGATCAAATTGGTAAAAACCCGATACCAGAACGAGGATGGCTCTTATGAGACCATACCCGATAATCTGGGCATACGGTGCTTTATATGGGAACACTGCATCGTCATCAATCGCATCTTGCAGTGCTTAGAAAATGTAGGCGCAATGGTATCCGCAATCAAGTTTGTGCTAGCCGCACCATCTGCGACCATCGTCAGTCACAAGTGTACTTTTGAAGGGCGCATGCCTGACGAATCTAAGGTACAAAAGATTAGGGATTGGCCTGAGCTGAAGAACCAGTTGCACGTGCATGGGTTCCTAGGCACATGCGGCATTCTATGCATTTTATTCGTAACTTCTCACGCATCGCACGCACGCTAATCAATTTGACCAAGAAAGATGGTCCGTTCGAGTTCGGCGAAGAGCAGCATCAAGTGATGCAAACGCTCAAGGACTCAGTACTAGATTCCCCCGCGCTTCGGCAGATAGACTATGAAAGCGGCTGCGAAGTCATCCTAGCAGTAGACACATCATGCGTCGCGATCAGATATATCCTGCTGCAAGTAGGCGAAGATGGCAAGCGCTACCCCAATCGCTTCGGATCAATCACGCTCAATGAAGTGGAGAGCCGCTACTCACAAGTGAAACTCGAACTCTACGGCCTGTATCGCGCGCTACGTGCCATGTGCGTCTACATAATCGGTGTTGTCAATTTGATGGTCGAGGTGGGCGCGAAGTATATCAAAGGTATGATCAACAATCCCGATTTGCAACCCAACACGATCATCAATCGATGGATCGCGGGTATTCTTCTATTCCAATTCAATCTTGTTCACATACCCGCCGCAAAACATGCAGGCGTTGATGGTCTCTCAAGGAGACCGCACGTAGATGAGGATCCAGAGGAAGCCGATGATCACGAGGATTGGATTGACCGCGCATACTCATTTGGAGTCGCAATCCTAAATGAAAGGACACTCCAAGTGGAGGCAGCCGGCGCCAAATATGCTCTTTCTGCGCACTTAGTGCCGTTCACGCAGCCGCCGAGGCGCTTACCAGTCTTATGCACCTTCCTTGATGTTACAGAACCGATACCAGATGATCCGCAAGTTCCATGCTCCGAGAAAGCGCAAGCGCTAGACGAGTGTATGACCATGATAGAGCAATTCCTTCTCAACCGCAAAAGACCCGCTGACATTACAGATGATACATCCGCTGCATTCATCAATCATGTGGCGCGCTTCTTCGTCCTTGAAGGTAACCTTTGGCGCCGCGAAGCGAACAGTAAACACCAGCTCATGGTGAAACCACATAAGCGATATCAATTGCTAAAACAAGTGCACGATGACCTAGGTCATAAGGGCATATATGCCGTTCGCTCACAGCTGCTGTTGCACTTTTGGTGGCCGCACATCGACGATGATATCAAATGGTATACATGCACATGCCATGAATGTCAAATCAGGCAGACGCTAAAGCTCCAAGTACCGCCGATGGTACCGATGCCCGGAGGCTTGTTTTGCAGAGTACACATTGATACAATGAAGATGCCCAGAGCGGGAGGATATGAGTATCTAGTACAGGCGCGCTGCGCACTCACGTCATATCCCAAATGGCGCATGTTGTGCAAGGAGAATACCAAGTCGCTCATGGCCTTCATATACAAAGAGCTCCTATGCAGATGGGGTCCTATCACCGAGATCATTACTGACAACGTGCCCGCTTATAGATTCGCCGCGGACATGCTTGCAGAAAAATACGATATCCATCCAATCTGCATGTTGCCCTATAATTCGCAAGCAAACAGTATAGTAGAGCACCGGCACTGTGATGTCCGGGAGGCCATCATTAAAACTTGCGATGGAGATGATACTCATTGGTATCAAGTTGTTCATTCCGTATTTTGGGCTGAGCGCGTCATCGTGCACAAGTCAACGGGCTTATCGCCTTATTTTATGGTGCATGGCATTGAGCGGATCTTCCCTTTTGACCTTGCAGAAGCTATGTTCTTAGCGCCGACGCCAGCGCACGCGCCATTTACCACTGCAGAACTCATTGCTTGGCGCGCACGGCAGTTACAGAAGCGTATAGAGGATCTCAGTGCTATCAGGGACAAGGTAATGAAAGCACATTACACATCTATCCGCGATTTCAAGAAGCGCTTTCGCACGACGATCCGTGATTACAACCATGCGCCTGGTACCTTAGTACTGGTGTGCAATTCGAAGGTTGAATACGAGTTAAGCAAGAAGACGAAGCCGCGATACTTGGGACCTATGATTGTAGTGTGCTGCACGAAAGGAGGCTCATATCTGCTGGCTGAGTTGGACGGCGCTATCTCTAAATTACGCTACGCAGTGTTCCGCATCATCCCTTATCATCTGCACAGCGATGAGCGCATTATGGTGACAAGCGTCACTGGTAAAGATGACGAGACTCTTGATCATTTAGCCGACGAGGATATTGAAGAACCCAATGAAGACAAACCAGAGCGCATGCCCAACACGTAGCGCGCAACCACTTCCCACATATCGCCGACACCCTAACTGCAAACTCCCGCTTTCCGCATCGCACACAAAGACAAAAACAATATATAACAACAAAACAATCACAAAAACATACTGTCAATTTCCATTCCCTCTGTTTTACCCCAGGTTTCGGCCGGCGACCTCAGTTTCTTTTTATCATGTCTCATAACATGCGCATTGCATTGAACATACATCCAACAGACTCTATTCTATACCGCCGATCGGGCGATAATAAAAACCGTCAAGTACATACTGAAGATAAGTTACCTAGAAGCGCGCGCATGACTACCCCATAAACTTTCCATTTCTAATGCGCGCAGCTGTGCCGCACCCCTTTTTACTCATAGACTATACACCGACACCATCTAATATCAGCGACACACAGGGACATGCAAAGGAATAGACACGAAAGGACGCCTGAAGAAGACAAGACAAGCGCGCAGCTTGCGCAACCGCCATATTTTCTCATAACTCTATGTTCTTACATGCACTCACTCGCGTGTTCCTCTTACTTAATCAGGCCGGCGAATCAAATTGGACACGGACATGGACAGGACGCAAAGCACTATCGCATTAGGTGCACTGGGCACCGGAGAAATCAGAGACACTATAGTACAAAGCGCTCTTTGGCGCTGACAGGTGATTCTAAATCTAAAAGTATCCTAAAAGGACTATCTACTCCTCTAGGACTTCGCAGAGCTCCTTCTCCCAAGTTCCCCAATCATGCGCCAAAAGATACAGCTGGTTGCTCATGTGGAGTAACTCAGACTCTTGCATCTGGGAATGTTGATGCATCTTGGTCAGAGCGACCCAATACTTGTTGTTCCGAGTGCGAAGCTCGGCATTCTCAGCGCGAAGTCGAGCAGACTCAGCGTGTGCCTCGTCCAACTCAGTATCGGCGTCCAAATGAGGACGCTTCACCACAGCTTCAGCAGCAGAGGCAAGCGGTCGCTTCAGCCGCTGGACAACAATAGTTTCCTTCGAAGTGCTGGCGGAGCCCCTTCAGTAACATTTTCCGACTTAGTCGGACAGCCAAAGGTTGAGAATCGACCCAGTTAGGTGGGCCGTCCGATGTGGGCCCATGCATGACTGAGCACGGATGGGCCCATGCATAATTCAGTATCCATGCTGGCGGGTGGGCCAAGTGAGATGGATAGAATGAGTGGGCCAATTGTCATGGGACACAGGTAGGGACCTGACGGATGGGCCCTGCATATATGTTGTGGAAGGGGTAACAGATAGGCCCAACAAGTGATTCTTTGGCCCATGCATGTCATCTCGGAAGGGCCCGTTAATTGTTTTCAGCCCAAAGTAATATGTACATGATCTCGCAAGGGCCAACGGTTGGATCTCGCTCGGCCAATATGATCTCGCCATGGGCCGACGGTAGGGTGCATATGGTCCCGGAAGGGCCAGCTGATATTGTTCAGCCAACATGATCTCGCCGTGGGCCGACGGTAGGGTGCATATGGTCTCATTCGGCCAATAAAATCTCCCCGTGGGCCGACGGTTGGGTGCATTTGATCTCGGAAGGGCCGGCCAATCGCACATTGGCCCAAGGTAATATGTATATGATCTCGGAAGGGCCGGCTGATATTGTTCGGCCAATATGATCTTGCCATGGGCCGACGGTTGTGCATTTGATCTCGGAAGGGCCAATCGCATATCGGCCCAAGGTAATACATATATGATCTCACAAAGGCCAATGGTTGGGTACATATAATCTTGGAAGTGCCTTTGGCCAATATGATCTCGCGATGGGTCGATGGTTGGGTCATTTGATCTCAGAAGGGCCAGCTTATATTGTTCGGCCATCGCCATAGGCCGATAGTTGGGGGTATATGATCTCGGAAGGGCCAGCTGACTATGTTATATAATGACGGTTGGGCCTAGCTAGTGATTTTGGCCCAAGATGACAAAATGTGATCTTGGGAGGGAAATTTCAGGAGAATATGCATGCCCTTTCAGAAGGACTAGCAGTTGGGCCCAGCTGGTTGTATGCAGCCCAATAGCCTGACTCCTCCGGGAATCAATGTATATTCATTTGAGCTACAGGATAACAAGCTGTCCCTTCTGTACAATCTTCTGGCCCTTACATAACTAGCCAGGCCCACCCGTCAATATCCGAGATCAGAGGATTCCCCTGCATCCTGCGTTGCATGATAATGAGCGACCCTTCTGAGATAAATATATATTCATCTGAAACTGAACCCAACTGTTAGCCCTTCTGGCATTCAATGTATTCCTTGCTATATCACCACCGGTTGGTCCTTCTGAGATCACGGTATTCTACTGAGCCTAATATAAACAACTGGGACTAACTGTCAGCCGTTCCGAGATACATTCATACTCGCAACTCGTGATGTCGGCCTGTGGAAGTGGTATTGAAAGGGCGATATATCTGCGATGGTCTAAGATAAGGTAACAGACGGCCAATCATTGGTCTCCCAAAAAATGTAAATCAATAAATCTCATACCGGAAGGTGTTATAAATGGGCATAGTGAATGTCCAATGGGTCCGGTAGAGGACAACAGTTGGGCCAATCAAATATGGTGATTGGCGGGTGAAACCGGATATTTAGAACATGAGAGCACACCTAATTGTGTTGAGCTCACCTCATCCGGAGTGATCGCAGAAGGGTAGCCGATGGGCTAAGCAATCCATCAACAGGTAAATGATTCGATTTGGAAGGTGTTACAAATAGCCAGTAGGTTATATGGGACTCAGTACGTCTATGAACGGTCAAAGTGAAACATACAGCAAGAATGGCTTGGCCTCATTCCTAACACATTCCAGTATGTCATCCATCCAAACCAGGCCCCTCTGAGTAGTGCATGAAATCCAAGGGAATATGGGCCAGGTTGCATCGCCAGATGGTGTGCATATCCCTAGATGTGTGTCCATCCGGTGATATCAATGCTGTTAACCCATGAGTATAGACACGAGGATCAACCGAAATATAACGTCTCCTCGTACTGTGAATTAATCAACTAGTCAGCCAGCCTGTAAATAGCACAACATCCTGTCACTCCGGCACTGTACGCTGCTCCTGCTGGAACTACCCATTCCACCATTTCCGGAAATCTGTCCTCTGCCAGTATATATATGAATGTATGCTCTCACAATACACCAACACTCACTCGGTGTCCACGAAGTAAATCGCAATGCAAGCTGCACATCTCTGCTCCCAGTGATTATAAATGCTGGGACCTTAACATGAAGCCAGAGGAATTCAGGTGAGAACTCACAGATGATGAATGTCATATTTATATCAGTGCAACGTCCGAGATCTTGTATTACCTATTTTTATTCACAAGTAGGTTGCAAAACCGTCATCCCGCCCCATTCGGGAGGATGAGACCTCCAGGAAAATGCATTCCAGGGTGATAACCGGATGACATCTGAAATTGTTGCCCACCAAATATTATTACCAAGACTCGTGCAAGGTGACCGGGAATGCTCGTGTGGCATTCAATAATGTGTTGATTCGGAACTCACATTTTTCTAGTCTACAATAGCTTTCACACCTTCCAGTAGAGCGTGCCTTGATCATCATTAAAAAGTGAATGTAGTCAGGTGCAACAAATGTATCTACTGAACACAAGTAAAGACAGTAATATGATCATGTGTGACGATACGATAGATATATCTATCCATCGGATATAGTTGATAGGTCACTGGCGAGCTCACTGGATGCATCCTCATCCACATTCGCCAGCAGAACTGCAGGATCGGGTGTTCCGATAATGTATCCAGCAGATGCTGAAGTCCCGACATGGCCTTGGATACCCGTGATAACGGACGCATCCCATGCATGAGTCCACTGTCTACCGATGGCTGAGATGTTCGGGTCTTCCTCCTGATGAGCTAGCCATGTCGGAAGGTGCGCATTCCCATGGTGAGGGGGAGCATACACGGTGGTATTGATGCAGGAACGGTGTGCAGTCAGATCATCCATATGGTCCCGGAGGGACATGGTTAGATGTCCAAGCGACAACGATGTTGCTTTCCATTCCGCATCCGAGTAATTGAGTTTTCGCTCCAGTGCATCTAGCCGCTGCCCAACCATATGTTCCACCGAATCGAGTCTTTCTTCCAAAACATCGACCCTGTCATTGGTAGCAAGACAATCAAGTCGCCTGCCCAGGTCTTGGATGCTCTGAAGGATGTCCCTTGCAGTGGGCTCACACTCCGCATGATTCATGGGCACTACCGACTGTCCTTCAGGCTCGATGAGCACGGATGAGCTCATCGTTGGGATTTGTGGTGCCTCTGCTTGAGCCGGTGTGACATCCATGGACTTGAGTTCACCCTCCGAGGCTGAGTGAGAAGCTGCTTAAGTTTGCAGTTCCATAGGTGGTACGGTAACACTCACCTTGTTGAATGATGCTGTCCTCAACTTCTGATAATAGCCGATTGAGCGGTATTGGGGTCTTCCGGGACCTGGTATTAATCGCTGTCTTGTTAACAATTCGGGACTTCGGGGCGCGCGACTTGGAGCGTCTGGCAGGATTGGCAAATGTCTTGGCTGCCATGGCCTTGGCTTTCGCTTGCATTCTCTCCCGGACCCCAACTCCATTAATCGCACAAGTGATCTTCATTTTATCACAATTGGCGCAGGCAAGTCAAATGCATCCGAACTTCTTGTCCAGGAGGACAAGACAGGCTACCCCCAATTTGCTGCACTTATCGCACTTCTGCGGATGATGACGAACAGAAAACTTGCCAATTTATTAGCGTAGATTGGTATGCGAACACAAATTAGCTTACCTCCACTGCCGTGGCGATAGCAGAATCCCTACCCCATTCAACAGGCTGATAAAATCAACCTCGGAATCAGCAGTAATCGGAAAGAACATAATGCACTCGGCTTTCTGCATCCCAGAAACCCCTATCATCTGCCATGTCTGTCGAATCTAAATATTCCGGTGAAAAAGTCTTATCGGCAGGAACCTGTAACAATCTGTTGGGCCACCGATGCCTGAGCCAGGATGGAAGGACCTACCTTTACCGCAGAGGCGATTTCAGTATGTTCATTAGGTCCACTAGCCAATATATACTTGTTCCTCTTCATATTTGACCTTCCGGACCAAGACGGTGAACCCGGCACATTACCCAAGGTCACGATCACCACCGATGGGCGATCCAACAACATGCGCTCGGTGGGAGGAAACTTTGCCAACAATGCCTCTTCCCGAGCGTCATTCAGCCCTGACTCCTGTTTGGTCAAGGCCTCATTGTACTGAATGACATCGATATCCAATTTGACTACATGCATTAGAGCATGGTGGGAACAATAAAAACCTCAACTCACTAGGATGCTGATACGCTTCCGCCAGCACAAAAGCCAGGTGTCCGCATGCAAATATGGTTTCCGGATCAAGTTCCGGAGGCGCTGGAACAAGAGGTCTCCCTGAAACATGTGCGGCAAACTGCTGCTCCACCCATTTGCTTGCTATGTCGACAGCATTCAGAGCCCAATCCCGTGGAATGAATGATGTTGGGTGAGCATCTAGATCAAGCTCAGCCAGTTTTGCATGGTAGGTCGCCCAATACTCATCGGATAGCATGGTGGGGAGAAACGGTATGTACTGCAAGCACGGCTGGCATCTTATATGGATATTTGCCAACACACCATTGTATTTGTGAGGTAAAAAATCACGCACCTGCAATGTTATTAATGGCATAAACGAGGCATCCAGGTATATGGGAACGGCCTATGTTATCCCATTGTAATATAATCATAGGCGCCGGACATAGGCTGTATAATATTTACATACGAGACTTTCGAGAACATGTCATTGCTGGATGACCCAGCAGTGCTGAACGCACTCAAGTACATGCCTTTGTGCAAGGTCATGTTGAATATGGTGTGTTGTCACTGATCTTGACTTGTCAGTCATTTTGATGTGTATTCCAGCCCGAAGATGTAACATCACTTCTCTCTATGAAGCTCGCAGTGAAATATGCTCAGCTTCACGAGATCGAGAGCATGTGTGCCATAGCGCTTGCGCATCAGAATCAGAACTTGTCAGATTTCGAAAAGGCCCTTTGGGATTACAAACATGGTATATTATATCCCATCTACACAACTTGTTGTTGACTTGTCATTGCTACACAGAACTCTTGTCCGACCCTACTATTTGCTCACATCTCGCAGCGCTTTACGACACCCTTCTCCGAGTCCAGCAGAATTTGCTGCGTATCGTTGAGCTGTACTCGACGGTAGAGATTGACTACATTGCCAAACAGGTCGGGCAAGGATGGCAGGATGGCAGGACGTTGAGGCCAAGTGCGTATTGAATTGTCTCTCTGAAAAGTAGCTAATATCGTGTTTTAGGCTATCTCAGATGATCTTGGACAAGGTGTTCCACGGCGTGCTGTATCAGGGACGAGGATGCCTGATCGTATTCGATGAGCTAGAAGCTGATGTGTGTCCTCTCTTCTCACTCATCTCATTCATGGTCATCCTTTTTTTCAGAACAAGTATGGTGCAGCAATTGGGACCCTGGAACAAGTTAGCAAGGTCTGTTACAAGTAACATCGGTCACGTGGCCCCCCTATCATTTTCCCTTCATCCTCGCCCTCACCATCTACCGGCTCATCCTCCTTTACCGACTTTCTGTTGACCGGATCCTCGGGACCGTTCCCATCCCTTGCATCGTCCGCCTCTATGCACATGCACGCACGTTCCTCCCCTGATTCGACCACCAATGTGGTCCCGCACCTATGACTCGGTCTGACTCATGCCACCAATGTGGCTTTCCCTTTCTGTTCCTTCTGACTGTGGATTCCCGCATGTTGTATTCTTACCGTTGGTCCGTTCCAATGTTTCTCGGTCTCATTTCACAAACTCGACCATCCATCACTAATCCGGCTCTGTTGCCAATGCACCTATACCATTCTCGTTTGCCCTTTACCCTTACCTACTGTGCGGTAGCCTTGCCCTTAACCCTCTCCACTTAGTATAAGTAGTCGGTCACCCTGTACTAGATTCTCTAACTTGAATCTACTCAATCTTCCCTGGAACATACTTCCCTCTGAACGCCCCTTTGGCTTCAGTCTCTAGTATCTTTTCTTAGTTGCTCATTGCGACTAAAGTCTACCTCGATCGACCTCATCGTTCGGACAAGACTGTCCTTACCTTGAGCGACTTCATAGACATCCATCTTAGAAGTCACGTGACGGGCGCGTACTGTGATCACTGCCAACTTGTCGTCGCCAGTCTCACTTGCTATACCGGATCCTTCCGGTTACGTCACAAACATTAGTGGACGACGCCCCTCTTAGGGCTCCGCATAACAGATCTATTTGAGTGCGTAACAAGGTCATAGACTTGTTGTATGCCAAAGTACATCTGTTTATTGTTCCTGGTCACTGGTCTATGCTTACGAATATCATTCAGACTGTCAAGATTGCATAGATGTAGTTTTTTATTCCTACATGTGAAATTTAACATGATGCATATAATTAAGAGGGGGAAACGGCCACACTAGGTCAATGGTCGCCATATATGTGCTGGAAATCTGAGACCAGGAGCGTGTGTCAGTGCTGCACAGCATGACGGGGTGGACGCAATTGACACCGAGCCGACGGCAACTCGTGCTTATATCTGTCTATCTACAATATGTAAGGACAGAACGTTTGATCCCACAAAACCAATTCACGTGACTCTCCTGTCTGTGTTCCACCTGAGCTCCACCTGTCCTCCAAATTGGTCTAGCGCCATGTGCGCTTGACGTCCGAATCTGAGATCTGGTCATCGACATCCGTCATGTCTCCGGCCCGATCAATGACACTGTTAACTTCCTTTCAAACGGCTCAGTGCGGAATGTACGAGCATGAGTCTTGGCTCATCCGTTAAACATGGTCGCGTACTTGAGCGTGCTGGAATGTGATGCGAACTTGTGAGGAATCAACAACGGAGAATATGGTAGTGTACAGGCCCATCTCTTACTATGGTAACTCACGGTAGAAAATGTCCGAAGGTGAACGGACCGCTTGTATGTTAGAAAAACAAATCACTATACTAGACATACATATTCGCTTCTGTGACTATTTACATAAAGGCCTGCATCAGCGGACAAATGGATGTAACTCAGGGAATGGATCTCCACGAGGGGATGTTCCTATCCGACCATTATTGTAGTCCTTCTCCAACACTGCCACTACCACACGGGAAGCAGCCATTGCATCACAGACCTCGTCTACCGGTTGCTCCAGCTGGTTCATTGCATCCACCGCTGCTTCAGTGGCCTCAAGCTTATTGACAAGGAGGTGGCCGAGATCGAGACCGAGATGGGCGACTTCGGTCCGGAGCACTTGGAGTTGTTGAAGCAGCGGGTCCTCACTGTGCGGGTGGATGATCGGTTCGGGTATCATTAACCCCAAGGCAGGCTGAATATTTGTCAATACAATGAGAATCCGTACCAGATTATATTCACAATCACTCACCCGCTGTTTGAAGTGGTCAGCCGTTAGATTTTTAACCTCGGCCACCGAGAACCAGAGAGGCATTTGCATAGGAGAATAATAGAATGAGTTATTCCACCAATTGTGCCGGTAGCATGGAACAACTCGATGGCCAAATGCCAAATCGCCAACATCGTCATGCTGACAGTCCCAGAAGTCTGCAAAAAGATCGATGCGGTCACGTCCTTCCGTCTGATAGGCGGTAACAAGAAGGAGAACCTTTCCGAGATATGTCGGCATGCTTGTATTGATATTCTTTGCCGCACACATGCTGACAAACGGGATCACAAACCGCTGCAATACCTGATCAATCAAGTAGTCCGGATGACATTGAAATTGACTCACTTCCGCCTCCCACACAAGGTGTTGAACAAATGAGTACTTATAAGCTACTGATGGGTTCTGCTCTGCCATCTGGGCAAGATGGATAGCAGCGAATCTGGAGGTGGCATATTTAAACATGTGGGCCGCATCCCAAATCGAGAATGCGCCAGCAGGGGACTCGGAAAGTGCAGGATGGTGGTTGATCATGATATATCTGATACAATCACCAAAGGAGACAAATGAAACCGGTCCTGACCAGCTTGTTTATATCAGTTGTCGGAGCTTCAAAATACTAATCAGGAAATGTGACTCATGCAACAATCACCTTTCCCATTGTTCACCTTATTGTTCCAGGACTTATACATTTAATGCATTGCACCAAATGTGTACTATTTATGTTATGATCCGTTAATAATATTATACATGTACCAATCAAGGAATCATCTTGAACATTGGATTTGCCTTGAGAAAACTTGCACGTGCATGTTTGGCCAATTCGTGGTACATGTGGGCCTGCCAAATTGCGTAACATTTGTGCCCTTCTGGGAGTGGATCGCCGTTGTGGGTGATCTGTGACAACCATGTGCTTGCCTTGTGGAGGAAAAACCGCAGAGTCCAACCCATTTCATGTTCAATGAGTTGCAGTCCTTCCGACCATCGATCACGCAATGCCTTGGTGCAAAGCCAGTGAACCCTGTAAACTGTGCCATGTCATTTCAGGTTCACATGATGAGTGAACCGTTACAAACATTCATTCATCCAATCGCTGCTGATGGAATCTCCCTGAACATCAAGGGACCAGAACCACGGAAGTGTGGAGTTTCTTTGTCCCCGAGCATTGGGATCGGCTACAGCAGCAGTAGCTTTGAGATGACTTTTCTCCATCCGGAGATATTTTTCCAATAGGTTGTGAGCTTCTAGATTGCCCAGTTGCAACCAGCATTTGGAATAAATCATCATTTGCAGTCTAATGACCTTTTCCACTGAATGTACCTGTGTCCATGCCCTAGTTGACTTTGCCTGAGATTTTGCCAGATGAACTGTGGTGCGGAAGAGCACAGCCTTATCTGCCAAAAGGACTCTGATTGCTTGCAGGGTGTCGTTGGCCTGTCCTTCCCGAAGTGCAACTTCCTGGCCCACAAGCTGTGCTACGCCCAACTCAGTACACCTTTTGATGCCGATATTCGATGGGAGAGGTATAACCACTTTCTCGGGATGGAAGAAATTCCCTTGCAGATCATCGTCGGAATCATGTTCACTGTCGGTATCCCTGTCTCCATCTCCATCTGAATCGTTTATGAAATCGATTTCCATATCTCTAATGTCATCATCCAGATCAAAGTCCTCTCCGAGATGAGCGACTGCCGCAATAGTAAATTCATCTATCTGGCTTTGCAACTTTGTACGACGTCTGACAATCTCCAAGTGTTGCGTTTTGGTGGAGTGTTTTCCCAACCTCCTGATATCCATCAAAAGAGATATTTGCAGCTCTTCTATGGTGATGCCGGATGCGATCCATGTAGCAGCACCGCACTTTGTATTCCCTCCTCCGCTACCGGCCCGGGAAGACAGCAAAGCCAACTCTTGCTGTTTCCACGTTGGTGCTATTGACAATTAATCCATATTGTTTAGGTCGGATACGAACACATCCATTGCTGAAGGATCTGATGTTCTACTTATTTGTGCTTGTCGATCTTGTTCTTCCCATGTTTCCACCATGACGTGATCGGCAGTTTCAGTAAGCTTCTCAAACACTGCCATGCTTTCGGAAACGCCCTTCACAGTGTCTCGATATTTCCGGCATAGAAAACCACCTAGAGAGCATGAGTATTAGATATTTGGGAAAGGATATATCTCGCAACTCATTCTGATCATTTTCATAAAATTTGAGTCGTTCATTTGGTAATCGAGACATTCTTGCCGATGGGGAGTGGACATTCCTCTCGCAGACGGAGATATTATATTCAGCGGCACCCATAATGTCTCCATGATCTCCCCGTCGATCCTGGCTGCCCTGGTGATAAACATAGATGCATACCTAACATAGCATTTGTCCTGATGCCCATGAACATGCCAAAGTCCTATTCCCGGAACGATCTCCATACCAGCAGGGATGCTTAAGTGTTGACTTTCATTTACCCTATGCCGGAAATACTTGTTATACTGGCAATTGACATCGTAGAATGTCAAAGCTCGACTGAGTCCATCGGTGTGATGGCTCAAAGCGTGACATAGAGCATAGTCCATGTTCATGTGCCTAATCAGCGATGTCAGGTTGAATGATAGTGGGTGACATGTGGCATCATACTGTTCGCCTTTTTGAAAATCGACAATGGAATGGGGGACGAAACAGCCATGTCGAGCACATGCGCAACCGCCAATTCCTGTAGCTTCCAGTCTGTGTCGGGAAGCATTTGCTTGATTCACAGCCCAGTGATTGTTACATTCCGACATTTGGGCATTTTCTTTGGCACCGGCGAGATGGGCCTTGTATTGATCTCTAGTGACCATGAAACACTGTCCATCGGTCAACCATACTTTGTCTTCCGGATGGGTGGGATGGAGATGTTCAGCTTTAAAATTACCGTCCATGACCAGCGATCTAGCATATAGCCATTCCGGATCATTTTCCTCTCTTTTGGCAGGCTGTGGTGCATTTATGCTGGGTTGTGGACAGGCTGGGCAGAAAAGAGCAAGTTCACTGGCATGCGGCTGTTTTCTTTTGTGAGCAAAGCCGTTCCATTTGAGAAGTTTTAGTTGATGCCATTGCCTTCCTACCTGCATCAATTCCCGGTATTGGTCCTGTCCGGATGTCAGTCCATATGCCCATGACCTTCCAGTATCTTGGACATACCGGGACCAGGTGCGGAAATATGCTAGATGTCATTCTTCTTAATTTACTGTAGTAATTCATGGCTGAAATCCCACATTCTAGATTATCGAGCAGAAAATTATCCAGCACTGAAAACATGAAAGCCAATTTTGGCCGACTGAATGATGCCGGAAACATGCCCATTGCAAACAACTGCTTGTCCGGGGCAGCGGCATTTGGGCATTTGCAATACCTGATCGTCAGCAAATGAACACCGGACTTGTCAACCATGGTCGTGCATTCTTTTGCATGCAGAAAAGGCAGCTCTGGAATGGCCAAGTAGTCATATGACAGCTCAAATGCTGGCTCGTCCATGTCCTCCCACTCTTGGACATCCTCCAGAACCGGACATGGCAGCCCATCATGCCCCAAATAAAAACACCATATCGATCTTGGTTAACGACGTTGCTTCAAAAAAGCTCCTGTTCCATTTGCTTATCTTGTGAAATGGCAATCACTTGTGCTCATCTCTACAGCATTTCATGCAAAAGATAGGATCACCGAGGCAGTCATGGCACTGATACACCACTGAATCCAGACTGCATAATGAACAGGACTTGTTAGTAGGTGGAGCCTCCTGTTCTAGCAGGACTCGAAGGTAATCATCTTTCTGAGACATCCATTCCTGGAGATAATCGTTTGGGCTCTGATATCCTGTTCAGCCTTGAACGGGTGAAGAAAATACAACACACCTTGGTCTTTTTTCCCAACAAAACATTTAGTGCACTGATAGGGCCATGATTACTCCAATCCACATGATGGGAATTGAAGTCGGGTGTGTACTGATGGAATGCCGCACTCGAGCTTTGTTTTGAGGGAGATTTTGTTGGAGATGATTGGGCAGAATGACTAGGCTGGCGTCGTTTGACCGGACACCATTTGCCTTTCCAGCCCCGAGTGGTTGTTTTGACTTTCCATTCGACTAGCTGAACTGTACTTTGGGCACCCAATATCCTCACCCTTGATTTGCCCATCAACTTGGTATGAAGTTGTGTGAAATATAAGACAGTAGAACTACAACAGCAACCTTGTTCGCTTAATAGCCGAAATGAAGGGAGGGCAAATAACTTTCTTATTGTAGACATCTTACACACACACGCACCATCACATACCAGCACATCATATCTTTATCCTCCTTAGTCTATGATGTCTGATCACGACTCTGGCTCTGAATCGGAATCTAGCAAACAGCCTGCATTAAATAAAGATGAGGTCGCTGTCCTACAGTCCTATATTGAGCAATGGGAATCAGCTGAGGCATCGGAGCGCAAGAAGGTCTTGAAAGCAGCTGCAACCGAAGCTTGGACAAAGGCACCAGTGATGGCCATAAGACTACTGAAAGATTGGAGAGGGGTGAGCATCTTATCATTTTCAGCACCAAATAAACTTTGATATTCATCAGGTCTATTAGACATGGTTCCAAAACCAAGGATTGAAGAGAAAGCTGGCTAAACCCCCTATCAAGATGGGGCAGAGATGGACGGAAAGAAGTGTTATAGACACCCTCCGGAAGAAAGAACTATTAAAAAAAATACAAGATGAGACTGGAGCTAAGCCAGGCACGAAAGAAATGATCAACCATTACACCAGGCAGCTCAACCTTCTTATTGCATCTTTGTCCCCGGATGAACTCGTAGAAGTGAAAGAGACAGCCAATTTATGGAACCGTCAGGGCGTTCCGGACGACATCAAGGCTGACATTGCCAGGAAAAAAAGCGATGACATGATCCATCATTTCACAACCGAGATGTGGAACCGGGCGGGAATGAGGGTCTTTATTGTGTCCGCTTGGAAAAATGAAGAGGGAAAGATTCATGTGGCCGGGTGAGTGATCCCATGAGTGCAATGATTAGCTCCTTACATTTCCGGCAGTCACGACTATAACAATGAATACGGTGGTGCCAACTCTGTTATGAAGACTCGTAAATGGGATGCCATCCTTCCGGAATGGGATTCATATGCAGAGAGCGCATTTGGTAGGGGTGCTCAGCCAGCTTCCGGGTAGTGGACACTAACAAAAATCAGATGGTAACTTGGATGGCGATACAGTTGCAACTCGGAAGAAAGGTCGACAGGACAAGACTTACATCCTTGACGTTGGCGACGATGGATATCCTTTGCTCCCTGCATGTGATTCTATGGATTTGGATACAAAGAAGGCAGTCGTGCGTGCATTTCTGACTTGGCATTACAGTAGGTCGACTTTTGCCCCTCCAATGTAATCTAACTGTTGCAAAGGGAAATGTTGTGGCAATCCAAAAATTTCAATCCCATGGAAGTATGTCATACCCAGATGCGGTGAGATCATTCCGGCAGAATGTCTTCCGGAAGAACACAATCTTGCAGAGCCTTCAAAGTTAAGGCAGGTCCACGCCACGGAACTTCTACAGTTCTGGTGTAACCGACAGGAGGAGGGCGAGGAGCGTGTATTGGAATTTATTGGTTGGTGGGACAATGATAAAGAGGATATGGTGCTCACTGCAGACATAGAAGTCCCAGTGACAACACCGAGAAAGACAAAGACAAAGCCCAAGCAGACATTGGGTTTTAGCAGAAAGACGGCACATCAACCACAGCAGTCTTCGGCAGGACAATCGAAATCCGGTGCAAATGCAAAGACAAAAAGGGTCACGCATGAGTCGGAAACCAAGTTAATAAATGGAACCACTACTTCAGGTGGTCCACAGAAGAATGCCAAGGGGAACAGGTCATACGACGAAGGATTAGACGCCGCAAAGACCACCGCTGATGAGTCACTTCCCAAACAATCCGATGACTCGGATGATGATATCCTAAGTCGCCAAAAATTAATCGAGGCGAAAAAGCGTAGTGGCCATCCGGTCTCTATGAGCCGTAGTGATGACTCCAATGGCGATGTTGAGGAAAATATCTGTAAAAAGGTCAAACCGGTTGGCACAAGAGGCAAGAAGACTGTGTCCTCAGTGAAGGCCGGTGCAGTTGACCTGCGACCTACAAAGAATAGGGCGGTGGTAGAGCAGCCGTGAGATAGATCTCGGAAGCATGTGCGGAAGAGCTCCGAGCCTGAACTATCTACATCTACCACTGCTATTGCACCCAAGGAGCGAGCGGCACTACCTCCGATGGAAGCTGGTGGAGCATCCGGTGCGCGGACCAAAAGTATAGTCCGTGGGACAACTCGAGGACAAAAAAGGACTGCTGAAGAGTGTTTGGAAGGTTCTCCAGCCAAACGGATGAGACATCAAGCAGCCGTTCAACAGGATAAGGTGGCTGCTAGACAGGCTAGGGTGAAGCCAGGGAAGAAACCGGTTGAAGACATTACCGATGGGTCACCCTCGAAACAGACCAGGAGCAGGACTTCACAGCCTGCTGCAGGCAAACGCTACCGCAAGCCAAACTCTCGGTACAACGACTATGTAAAGCCTTAAGGAATTTGGGAGTGTTGCAGACGCATCCATGACACATGACTTTCACTTGCATGGCTTAGATCAGGTCAGGTATCATTTACTTTATGACAGGAGTTTTTTCATTTTACATGGACCTTGTGAATTGTTTACATTAATTATATACAGCAATCAAGTTATTGCAGGCGACGCTCCCGCTGCTCCAGGCTTGTTATAGTTGCATCTAGTGGTTCCATTATCCGGCGGTGAATGTTGAGCAAACGATGAATGTTGATGACATCTGTACCAAGCTCGGTCACCCGATCCCTTGCCTCCGTGTATGCGCCAAACAGATTTCGGTTGGCCATAAATGTGATTGCCGGCTGCGGGTCAGGCACACATCCGGCCGCAGGTTCAACAATGCTGCATACATATTGATCGACTTCCCCATACCATGGTCAGCTTTCATCAGGTTGCAAATATAAGAAACTCACAGTTATCATGTCCAATGCTATTCAGTCGTCCGATGGCTCGGCGCATGGACTTTTCTGCAGTCTCGAACACATTATGTGAAATGGACCGCCCTGCATATACCATGTTTTAGCGATTAGTCCAGGCGGTCGCAAATTACTTACTTGAGTTCACAGAGGTAGATGTGATGTCTATAACATCTCCTCCTTCCGGCAATGTGAGGTCTATAACATCTCCTTCCAACAATGTGAGGTCGATAACATCCCCTCCTTCCGACAATGTGAGGTCTATAACATTAGTTTCCTCCCTCATATCACGCTCTTCCAGTTGCTGCATGATGATTGTGTCATCCATCAGATCGTCCCACCTGCAATCGTAAAGATCCTCTGTGCTGTCCTTTTCAGCTTCCAGGAGCATGTTTTTCGTATGCATGCCATCATCCGCAAATAAATCTAGTGCATCGGATACAAACCGAGCCATGGGGAGCTTGTCTCCATTTCTACTATCGTCTCCATCATGATGAGAAGGATTTTGAATAGCTGCAGTCTTTGGAAAATCCCCCCACCCGTAGCCATATGGAGCATCAGTTATGTCTCCCAGCATTGTATCTTCTTCCCGGACAGCAGCGTCACGGTCCCATCCACAGTCATAAGGATCGGCTGTCTCTGTGAAATCAGTGCTATCCCGGCTGCTTTGTTGTTCACCTTCATCCCGTCTTACATCCAGTCCTGTGAATCAGTCAGTTCAGATGTCAACAAACAAAATGTCTACAGACTGTCTTCCGATGACATGATCATTAATGGGGTGATCGTATCCTCCCATCCGCAGTCATAAGGATCTGCAGTCGACTCGTTTCGGGGTATCTCCTCGGTGGCAATCTCACCATTCCATCCACAATTGTAAGGATCTGCAGTGGCAGACTCATTAGGTGATGCCGTCCCATTGACCATGGAATTATCCCAACCACAATTGTAAGGATCATCGATCGGAATAGGCTCTTGCATAACTTCATCTCTCATTTGGTTCAACGATGGAGCCGGGACTGCTTTGTTGGTTGAGTCAGCGGATTTTGGGCGACACATCAGCACTTACTCTCTTCTGGTTGACCATTCTGTAATGCTACTGCCTGGTTAGTAGAAGTTTAATAACATAAATGACCGACAAACTTTCCCCCGGTGTCGTTGCTTTTTCAAGAGCTTGACCGTCATCCTCCCATCTGCAATCGTAACTATCGGCCTTCGACAACTCAATGGAGGAAGCCGGCCCATCGACAATCGGCCCATCCCATCCGCAATCGTAGGGATTATTATCAACAGCTGGACTGACGGGATACAGTGATGCCGGTGATCTGGCTAAATCATTTTTTCCATGGAAATCAATTAGCTTCATCTTGGGAATCGGGTTTGTGCCAACCTTCCAATGTTACATCTCCTGATCAGATTAATAAGTTGAGTTTCCATAAGTTTCCGGAAAACTGACCTTCTGCTGGCATCAGAGCGTCCTCCGGAGCTGTGGTATCAGCCTCCCATCCACAATCATAAGGATCGGCTACCGATACCTCATTTAAGGAAGCTGGCCCATCCGCAATCGTGGGGATCATCGGCGAGAACTATTGAATCCATAACCGACTGTGATGCAAGCGATTCAGCTGAATCTTCCATTTCATCGAAATGAGTTAGCTTCATTCCGACAGTCAGGTTGATACTAACTTTCCGATGTTGCATCGCCTAATCCCATCAATAGGTTAAGTGACCATTAGTGACCATACAAACTTACTTTCTGCCGATAATGGACCGTCGGGACCTCCAATTGTTCGGGAACCTTCTAAAAAGTTGGGGGTCTGGAGCAATTCAGTTATATACATGTCTAATATCAGTTGTGGGATAAGTAGAGCTGGAAAGTAATGCAACTCACCGGACAGCATGCTTGTGACTTCATCAAAGTCACCGTTGAAACAAAGCTCGTAATCTGTGGGACAAGGTTCATTCAACCAAGCCAGTTATCCAGGAAACGACTGACTTTTCTCTTTCTTTCCCATGGAATCACTCCGATATTCATAGTAATGCAGAAGCTCAGCACAGAACCTATATGCTGCAATAGGAATGTCGTCAGCATTCTGGGCCGAATCGGGGTTAGAGTCAACTTGTGTTTATACACTGGATAGGATTCCAATCCGATGATTCCTCGGAACGTCGGCATGCTCTCTGGTCTGGGGGGAATCCATGACTCTAAAGGGACATAGATGCCCCACCAATCTATAGGATCTTCCTCCAAAGCATGGCAGATTGCTACCAGGGTGTCGGTAGATGTGAAACACTGATATTGAGACTCGGTAGAATATATGCTGGAGAGTCCGTCACCAGCATCTGAGAACACTTCGTCGCCAGCATCTGACATAGTTCGGGTCGCAAAACGAACTGTGTCGCTCAGGCATGATCATTTGCGTCAAAATGAAAGTCGGAGAATATGACAATGAATATGCTCCAAGATATACTTTGATATGGACAACCTGGCAATTGAATGCGTGGGACAATGATCGATGACAACCTTCTATTTACATCATAATTACATTCATCGGTCCACACCGCCGTGCTTCTATGTTGGCCACACGTTCTCGGAAACAGCCAAAACCGACATATTGGTATAGATCCCGATATTTGTAAAATTTCTCTGAGTCACATCCCTCTTTCCCTTCCGCACAGCTTTACCCCGTTATCAACTCATCAGTGTTTTGCATCCAGTTCTATGACTCCTTCCGAAGCAGACAGCTGCTCTTCATGACACATTAGAGGATGTGCAATCGCTTATAAAGCGATGCATGAAGTTGAAGGAGGGCGATTCAGCGGCGGGGTTAGCATTATCGGATGAGATCGCTAGACGCGTGGTACGTCCGCTGCCATTTATGCGGTGTTAATGTTGGTACTAACACAGTTGGTTACAGGCAAAAAACTTAAAACTCTATGCAGGCCACGTGACATCATTCTCTCCCCAGCTGCTGTCATGTGCGGCGGTCGTACGGCAGTATTCCAAGGCTGGTGTCTTTCAAGCATTGCCGGACTGGACAACCGTCGCTGACGATGATCCGCGCATCAAGCATCATCCACGATTCCACAAAATGGTAAATTATCGACATCTCACCAGTTCTGGGGACACAGAACACACTGCTTCTGGTTGGGCCAATGTGGAAGCGACTGCCTCAACGTCACCGTCTCGTGACATTCCAGTGAGCAGATTTATCGCTGACAACCAAGACCCTGCCATCGCGAAGCATGTCCTGAGCACTACGACACATGAACCTGTGTCTCCACTGGCAGCCTGGTTCAACAATGTACCGGTAACACCTTCGCCAACCGCACTGTTGGAACCTCTGACTCCTCTTTGCCCTTCAACCGCCGCCTCCCCAAGCAAGGAGCATCTTCGTGCGATGGGAAACAGGACACAACCGAAGACTGTCCGACAACACGGCAAGCGCAAGGACAGACAAGCGGAAGATGATGTTGTGGATGAAACAGACATGATACGTAGATCTACACCACGCCCATTATCCCGACAATCTGCTCCGAAAAGGAAAAAGAAGTTCATGTCCGATCATGAGGAAAACCAGCCAACCGGAAGCATATACGTCGCCCGGAAGGTGCAGAATCCTTTTTCGCCTGTTTGTACTTCTAACTGTGGCATCTTGCTTGCAGCACACAGCGTCATCATCAATGGCAAATGCAGTTGCAGGACCACTTAAGGTAATGTCATCCGACACGGTCGATGATAAAGGTTTTTGGGATGCAGACACCAGGGTAGGTTGTCGCCATCTCGGTGATTCCATTTTCATGCATATTTATCCAGCCGGATGGATGGGGTCGCGATTCCACCATTGCAACGTCGGCGGAGGTGGGTTCTTTATACTCTGGATGCTAATGTCAGGTAATGTATTTTTGCAGCATTCCGTCCGCTATCACCCCCGAAAGTGTGACAAATGCATCACATTAGACATACCTTGTATTGTCCTGCCTGATAAGAAGTATGGTTTCACAAGACTTGCATGTGGCAACTGCGATGAGATGAAGATAACTTGCACAATTGATGGTGTTGGTGTCCGGGAGAGGTTGCAAGCAAAGTCAAAGGGAAAAGACCCTCTTCCTCCCAAACGTTCCAAGATCTGTACTCCCAAATCGTGGGCTGCCAAAACTCTAGCCAAAACTGACACCACAAAAAGGAAAAAACAACCCACTCGTGCGTTCCCCCGTGCTGAGCAAAAAGTCCTCGTGCCGGATGTGTCGGAAGGTAAGCACATCTACAGCACCCTTCTGGCGAGCAAAAATCAATGCATGAAATTTCAGACTCAAATGCAGAACAACCGATGGAGGTCGTGACTCCAGATCCGGATCCACCAGCACCCTGAAACATGCAGCCTTCGGAGACTGTCTTACCACTAGCAATGGTGCAACCCTTGACAAACACTCTGGTTGGGTCAGCCGGACTTGGCAACCAGCCCGAGCCTGAGCCAACTCCGAGAGATATATTGCATAGTATTCATGACCTAGGTAGACGGTCTGATCTCCTTGCTACAAACGAACGGGTGGACGTGTTAGACACCAGGTTGCATTTGGTGGAGGAAACACTAGATCGGAGGTTGACCATGCTGGAGAAATGGTTGAGTACTTCAGATCTGCAATGGAAAGTGACATCATCATCTCTGGGCAATTTGTCAATGGCCCTTCGGAAGCACAGAGACGATCAGATTATACACCACCGTCGGGAGAGCATTTTTGGAGACGGATCATCACAGCAACAAGATGCTGGCCTAGTTGATGAAGAGGGTGTCTCGCACATGGGGAGACAACCCAGTCGTATCAGCACAAGAAGGCTAGATAATGCCGGGAGGTCTGTATCTGCTGTTCAAATACCCGGAGCATCACTTCCATTGGTGTCATCGCCTCTGTCTTCTCGATTCTCCAGTGCCCCACTGGGCACATCCGGCGAATAGATCTTTATCACATCTGGATACTCGTGTTTTCTTGAAGGAACCCAACACTGTACTTATAGTTGTCTTGTGGGTTTAAAAATAGTAGTTAGGATATCTTCCAAAGTTTGCAATAAGAATGGAATATTCCACTACATTGTTGGCAAACATTGAAGGAATTCCGGTAGTGATGGTAGGCCATGGAAGTACAAATGATGCAAATCTGTACAGGTCGAAGGGCTGTCCGAAGGGTACCGGATGCATGTATGGGTAGCCCAGCCCCATGTGCATTTCATCAGGATGGGCCCAGCTAATCATTTCCAGCCCAAGCAAATACATGTTTGATCTCAGCAGTAGGCTCAGGTAGTTCTTGTTGCCTCAGTTGGGCCCATGGAAGGGCCTAGTTGGTTATTTTCAAAAGATGTTTGATATTGGAAGGGTTGTATTGACGCCCGGGTTACAACCACATGAACCATCTACATTCGAGTATTATATGCTATTGGATGTCACAGCCTTCATACAATCACTATGAAGCCAGGCGTATTGTAACTAGGCAGGCCAAAGCAGAGAAGCAAGCAACAACTCTGTATATACAAGAATCTTGGAAATAAAACAAGGTTGGCCATATTGTAAGAATGGGAGCATAACATGTGGCATAAAATTACATGATATCTGGAGCACCTATATACAAGAACCTTTAAAATGAAAAAGCCATATTGTAAGAATGGGAACATAAAAAATCAGTCCATTGTTGTGTTTCCGGGAGGAATATTCGGATGTCCTCAAGATGCGGACATCGCTCTCCACCGTGCATCCGAGATGCTCAACCGTTGCTCAAATGCGTTCAACCGCTGGGTGAGGTTGTTCTCCATGGAAGCAACTCTTACCTCCAATGCCTCCACCCGCTCATTGCTGGCAAACAGATCTAATCTTCTGCCGAGGTCCTGGATACTCTGGAAGATTTGTCTTGCTGTTGCTCGGCATCAATGCGGTTGGCTGGCGCAGGCTGGTTATCCTGTTCCGGTCGTGGGACAGGCTCGATTGTAGGGAGCGGCTCCATGGGAGCCTTGCCCGGCCCGACATCCTTCGCCTGTTGCTGTCCCTCTGGGTAATGTAGATGAGTTGAAGCCTATCAGATTGAACAGAAAACTTACCTTTATCTTCATGTTCAGCGCCATGGGAACTTGGGAGCGGGAGGTTTGCCTTCCTAGCAGAGCGGCCAGCCGGAGTCTTGGCATGGGACTTTGGAGTGCATGTTCCGGAGTGCTTAGGAGGATTGGATGGTTCTGCAGCGGTCTTCGCTTGCATCCTCTCCCTCACACCAACGCCGTCAATCGCACATGTGACTTTCATGTGATCACAGTTTGCGCAAGCAAGGCACGTGCATCCGACCTTCTTGTCCAGAAGGACAATGCAGGGTACGTCTAGTTTCCGGCATTTGTCGCACTTCCGGGGGTGGTACCGAATGGAATGCTGTAAATTTGTGAGCATTTCACGGCAGTGTTTTGCTGAATGACTTGCCTGCAACAGGGTAGCGATATAGGAATCCTGGCCCCATAGGGCAGGCTAAATAAACCAGTGAGTAGACGAGCTTCGTGAAATGCAAATAACATACCCTAGTGTCTGCATCCTGGAAACCTCTGTTATCAGCTGCATCCTCCAGAACTGCAGGGTCGGAATTGTTCTCAGCGGCGACAGGCAGCAATACCTTATATTGTAAGGTCAACAATTTGGCTAAACAATTCATGTGACAGACATACCTTTGAGATCGCATATACCGTTCCGGTGGGAGCTTCTTCATCCGATAGGAACTTCTTCCTTTTTTGCCTGGGTTTCGAGGACTGGGGAGGCAACTCGGGTGCATCAGTCATAATGGCCTCATCTGCATCATTGTCTGCTGCTTTTTTCTTCTTACTGTTGCCGACCTGCGGCACGACCTTTGCGGGTTTCTTCTTTGTGCCAGCCGCAAAGAGATTATGTTTGATGAGAGCAGCAGGAGGTGCCAAAATGTGGGTAGATGTTTGCGGCTCCGCAGACTTTGGTGGAGGAGATACTGGCCTGGGTTGAGTGTCCGGTGAGGTGATCGGATCCGGATCAGCGAGGGATGCAGTCGGCAAGAGAGCCGAGACCGTGGACGGCGGCGTCAATGTGTCGTTTGTGGACAGGAGGGCAGGCGCAGGAGCATGTGGGGGTTCAAAGCAGGTGGAAGCCTCAACCGCAGCAGGACTGCGGTAGCCCATGGTCTTGTCAAATCGGGGGTGGTTCTTGATCCTCGGGTCATCATCAGACACAGAGGTCCAGTCGGGGACGCACTGAAAGGCACCGCCCTTGGAGTACTGCCGGATGACGGCAGCACAGGAGAGTAGCTGCGGGGAAAATGACGTTGCATCCCCAGCATGAATCCTTAGATCTTTGGCCTGCGTGGAATGGTTAGCTTGCAAGGAATTCAAAGTCCAAGAGAAAATAAAACTCACCACGCGTCTGGCGATGTCATCAGATAATGTCAAAGTCTCTGGATCGCCCTCCTTCAACTTCATGCAATGCTTGATGAGTGGTTGCACGGCCGCCAGAGTGGCATTCAGGGCATTATTAGCTGCCTCAGAAGGTGTCATAGTTAATATTTTGAAGCAAGTATTTTAATGTAGATACGGAAGAGGAAAATTTGGTGTTTGGAAAATTGTCCAAGTGCCTACTTATCAACCCATTGGTTGTGGCCATTTCCATGAATTGTGGAAGCTCTGCAATGTGGACCGGGTGTAAAATTATTGTAACACAATAGAACTGCTGTGACCGTTGTTGTCTTAGGTCACCGCATCCACATCGGGAAAGGCCGATCCACATGTACCGCCTGAACATAATCTGTTGTCTGGATATTAGATGCATCACATCTGTGAGGGTGGGAAGTGGATTAAGGCTTGTTGCGGCGGCGGCGGCTAGTCTGTAATGGTGAGGCGCGCACCACATTACTGTCTGTTGTCACAATGACACGTGGTTTGACATACAATACCTCCACTGCGACAAGCCTTAATCCACTTCTCACCCATAATGGGTGCTATGCCGTGTATGGGATATCTGGACTCTACATGATTTTCCAGAATCAGTGGTGGATCCACATTTCCCGGTGTGGATATACCAGCTGTCGTGACCGAATCCGAGAGCGGTAGCCACGGTTGTTTTGTACAATTTGTGACACCCGGCCACATTTCTGACATCAGGAAAAAGGGAAAAAGTCTTAGCCATCTTAGCTCACTTACAGAGACTTAATTCGACGTTAAGTTCACCAAGTTGTCAAAGCAAACCATTCTGGCTTAATTTCTGCTTGGAGGATTGTTCACAAAGGAAACACAATAATAGTAAGCAATGAATGGCCAAAATTCAGCACAGAGGCTGCAGAAAAGCATGTTCAAGTAAGAAGGTTATTTGTAAGTAATCAACACCATGCTGCGATGTAACTAAGTTAATAGGCGCTATGCAAAGTACTTCCTAAGCCGACATAAGTTAGTATCAAGTCACCAGGCAATCTCAAATGCCTGATGGTCAATGTATTTATTTATATAGTAAGTGCAGAAAGCATCAAGGGTCTGTGTGTAAGAGAGATAAGTAGGTACAAATTCATGCCCAAATACAGGCATAAGGTGTGCCGCACGAAAAATGCAGTCAAGGTGAATGACAGAGGCAAATCGTGTCCCATCCTCGCAGGTTTTAGGCTCTACTACCCACATTCCTGTGTTCTCATCTCGTGAGTCGTGCACATGTTTGAACCAATGCACAAATGCACAAGGGTAAAGTACACCATTGTGTTTAAATGAAAAGAAAAGCCTTACTTGAGCGATATCGAAGCCATGCATGCCCTCGACAGTGGGATCAGAACTAACGAAAACACAGTCATATCGACCAGGGCCGTTCCTCCAGGTATCCACGGCACGAATTCGCTCGTAGCGCATACCACCGATGCCTGAGACATCACTTGAAGCGAAGAAGGTGGCAATGGCAGATGTATACAGAGTCATTTTTTCATATAGCTCGGGAAGGGCACCGGACGAGCCAGCGCCAGACTCGGAGGCTTCTGAGTTCAAGTTGGAGTCAGAATGATGGAGCTGGTCACGTAAAAATCGCTGAATATGAGTGGTGAGTTCCGGTTCACCAATTTGATCTGTGAGGAGGTCTGCGTAGATCCGTTTTGCTACATTAAAATTTGTTGTAAGTAAAAAGCACGCCAGGTGAATGTACTACTCCACTCACCAGATTTCTTCGCCAAGTCCACATGAGCTAGTATCACCGTCAGTCCAGCAACAGCGTCGCCCTCGAGTTCAGCATCTTGGTCTGCATCAGCAAAAAAAAATGCATTTCCGAGGTATTTGAAGTGTGGGAATGTGCATCTAAGGTATCCGAAGTGCAGGAACATGTGTCCAATGCGGCTAATGTGCAGGAAAATACAGACAAGTAGATACACAAAGCACAGGAAAAGTGAGTTTGGTTTCAGACAAGATTATTTGCCAGACAAAGGATGGACAAGGATAGGGAAACTTATAGTGCTCTATACTCCTTGACACATATATAAAAATGACCCATTTGCAGCCCAGGGAGGTTCTGAGTGTCACAGTGGTGTGATAAATGCTGTCAATATTTACTATACAAAGTTAGCATGTCAAATAGTAAAAATAAATTGTGCTTAAAAAACTCACAGTAGAAGCCACAGTAATTGTCAACATGGTGACAGTGCACAATGGTGTGTCCTAAGATGAATTCATCAACAAAGTGTGCAGGTGTTGGTTGTCCAGAAATAAGGCTGCAAAAACACTCCTATGTGAGACCACAATGATGCAAAAAGTCAAAAACACTCTCAGGTACAATGCGCTGTAGAGATTACAACAATTGCTGGACACTACATGAAGTAAGTAGCCAGCTATATAAAAATGTGTTGTGGTCATGCACAGCCTAGTCTGCTATACTTGAAAGACAAGTGTGTTCGACCCAAGGGGTTAGCTGTTTGGAATGGTCTGTAGTTAGTGAAATGATAAATGATCAAAAGTCCGAGCACAGGAAACAAAGTCCAAAGGTATATCTACGATGTCCAATGCCAAAGTGCCGGGTCCGATGTTTTCAGGTTTCAGGTTAGCGGGTTTCGGGTGAGGGTTTAGCGGGTTAGTGGGAATTGCAATAGTGAATGTCGGGAAAGCGAGTGGTATGCGGATTAACGGTGGTAATGGGTATTTTGGATGAAAAGAGTGGTAATATTCGCAATGTCAACTAAGAACTACAAAATATCGGGTTTGACCACTAAGTATCGGGAAACGGCTCCCTACTACTTGGATGATGAAAAATACTCAAGGTCAGTCCAATATATATGTAAGTACGTGGAAATTTGGAAACCCGTAGGTGAAAGTAGCGGCTGAATATTTCGGATCCGAAGTACATGTAGATGAACATGAGGTACTGCAGACGATGGGAAAACATGTAATAGCACTGGCTACGACGTGAGTAATGTGCAAAATAATCAACTATGCACCTAGTGGGGCTAGCAAGATGGGATGGGACACAGATGGGACAAGTGTACAGGATTTCGGGTCGGCCAGTGCGGCTGAAATGTCGGGTCCACTAGTCAAAGTGTCAGGTTTCATCGGATTTGAGCGGGTTAGCATCGGGTTACATCGGGGAATGATTGGCAAGTAACGGGCATTGGACATGTATCAGGAAGCAAGAGAATACGTGCTCAGTGTGAGCTCGAGTGCTACAGTGCTGTCCACAGTTTGACACTGGACTGCAAATAAATCAGAAATTAGAACATCAGGAGTGCAAGGAGTACATACTAGGCAATCATGACTAGTTGGCCAACTTCACATAAGTAAACTAGGAGCTCTGTGGAGAACCATTGTACAACAATAAAATGATGGAAAATTGACTCAATGATAGCAGATATGGTAGTAGCAAAGTTAGATGCAAAAGCAGGACTGATGAAAACAAAAACACACCAAAGGGACACTATTTATATGTGCATCAACTGCATTCAGCATAAATCCTGCTGGATAAGTAATGTAGCCTTTACCTACAAGAAAAACAAATAAGAACATCACCTGGCAGACAATTATGATGGTGGTGGTCATGGAAAATTTTGGACTTTGTGTTAACTGCAAAAGGATTGAGACATTGAGATCACATGAACCTGAACTGCAGTATGTAACAACCCACCACACATTGCTAGTTTACAATGGATGTTGAAGTGTCTAATTGGTGGGAACAATCCCTCAAGCTTGCCAGGAGAGTAATGCTGCATTTACCTCCTAGAAACAAATGAGAAAAACAGCAAACAGAAATAGGAAACCAAGAACAACAGAGGACTCACTAATCATTTGACTCAATTGTTTGGTATAGAGACACCGTTGATTAATAATATTGTGAGTTGTTCATATCTAGAAAAAAGATAACATTGTAGTATATTGCAGTGCAGACTCCAATGTGTCTGTGGTATTATTATAAATATATATCTCACTATGTATTTTTCTGTCTTATTCATTCTGCATGTTGTTTTCTGACTCTCAGCTTGCTGCTATTCATGCTGCCCAGTAAATTTTTATAAATATTGGATTATCTCCTTGTGATCTCAGTAATTCTCCACCACTATTACTAGCCCCAACTCTGCCATCTAGTACACTGCTTCCTCCATCTCCTAAGGTTTTTGGATCTCACTACCAGCCACCTCCTGCTCAAGTATTCACTGCTAATGAATTATCACTTGAATGTAGCCAGGTGTACCACCAGACACATGTTCAAGCTCTTATTGAGTATCCATTAGGTGCTATTATCAAGTATCCTGAAATAGGAGCTTTCAAAGGCTTTTCTGTGGCACATATTTTCAATGTCAACCCAGATCCTGACTATTTCATTAATCCGAAGCTCAACTTTCCAGTACTCTCTTGGTGATGGCCACAGTGGGCAAAAAATGACAAATGTCACTTACTCAAAGGTGCCAATGACAATCCTATTGAGTGCAAAAAGTTGACAACATTGTGTAAGTATCAGTCAGCTTACTTTTTATAGCATCTCTAATATAAAGATATAGGCAAGGGCCTTAAGCTTTGTTCATCATACATGTCAATTCTTCACCACTTCACACCTCAGAGGACACCACTAAAAGAGAGGTTTTTCTAAGAACCATCAATTTCTTTTGTTCATTGAAAGAAAAAGGTTGTACATTATCTTCAGAAGATGATGTACTCTAAGTTGAGTGTGAATCAGCAGACCTATTGGAGTATGATGACAGTGCAGACATTAAGGGCAAGTTTGATTGCATTGCACATGCAAGTCGACATCTCCAAAAGCATGGTACATGTAAAGATGCACTTGTCTTGGTCTTTGACAAGTTCAACCAGCCTCTTATCCAGTCTATCTATCTACTACTTCTATTTTCCCTTAACTCATATTTATCTGATGCAGATGTGAACATTTTTCACTATCGCAGTGAGCTCATCTTGTCCTCCATAATTTGCATGAGTATGATATTGTCTACCTCTATGCACTGCTGGAAAATGATCAAGAACAAATTTGTGCATTCAAAACACATGCAAAAGGCTTTAGTTATGCCCATTAGTGCCATGTAGTTTTGCTGCATCTCCAATTGAACAAAAGCAATTGTGCCACAAGTATTTTTCTCTTGCTACTGGATCTTTGCTTATTGTTATTCTTCATAGCATATTGGCACCATGTTGATGGCTCTCTTCAATGAGGTGTACTACAAAAATAGGCATATAACTGTAAAACAACATATACCATCTATGTCCCTAATGACTTACAAGATTGTCCACATGTTCTTATCATCTTTTGCAACTTGCATTCTCACCCCCCTCCAATGCCAGTCAAGACTCCACCTCCCATATTATGCTGTTTTGAGTCTCTTCTATCATATTTAGAATAAAAATTAGCTGATGCCACCCCATGTCACATCATGCTTAACTCTGGCTTCATGCATAGCTTGTGACATGTCCTTGGTTGGAGTTTGAGCTGGGACTACAATCCAACATTACAAGACCTGCACCCATCACTTGGTAATCTTGATCATGTTTGGTAGTTGATTAATCTTCTTCATCACACTCGGTTTCCTAGTGGTACTGGGTTTGATGGTGAGCTATTCAGTTTTCCCTACTTGTATCATTTTTGACCACACTTTGGGTGCTAAAACACTTGCCAGTGAACAGAACAAGCTTCCACTTGAATGAAAATATGTTCATTGTGCAGAATTACATATTATCTTACAAAACACTGAGTTTAAACTTATCATTTGTATGTCAAGCAAAATGTCAACTCATCTCTTATAGTCAAAGCAGTTATCTATTGACACATCATTTGAACGAGTGCAAGGATGGCAAGAATTTGAGATTGAAAGCTAGGATAGTGACCACATAAGATGTAATATTGTTCCTTCTTATTGCATAGATGATAGCTTGCTCATTGCACTACTGTACAGCTGTTGTTTCTGCTCGTGCCTTCACAACATCACAGTCTGTAGAGTCTCATGCCATCCTCTTCCGACATATTTTTGAAATTGCAACAAGTGATATCAGCCTTCCAGTTACCTTTTACCATATTCATGGCTGTAGCATTAAATCTATCATTGCAGATAGGCACAGGGGGCAGAGATTAAGTGCATAATCCTCTTTTTTGGTCACAAAATATTAATCATCCTTCAGGTTTGGGCATGTACTGTGTAGAATTGGCCTAACAAAATTTTCAGCTCTGTATGTATAAACCTCATTGGAGGCTCCATGAGCTGAATCCTTGTGATTATCTCTGTCATTTCTATTGCCTTTGTGTCATACACTTCAAACAGAATATCCTTGCTCTTTATAGTCAAGTCTCAAAAAATGTTTATAATGCAATGCTGAGCCTGGTGTAGAGATACAACAATTGCTGGACACTACACAAAGTAAGTAACCAGCAATATAAAAATGTGTTGTGGTCATGCACAGCCTAGTCTGCTATACTTGCAAGACAAGTGCATTCGACCTAAGGGGTTTGCTGTATGATATTAGAATAATCAGTTATAACAAAAGGAAGATAGTCCAAAGTGCGGGAAACAAAGTCCGAAGGTATAATTACAAGTCTGATATCAAAAATGTCGGGTTTGATGTTTTCGGGTTTGCCTCAGGTTGCATTGGGTTAGCGTTGGGTTTGCATCGGGAATATAGTGAATGTCAGGGATAGCGAATGGCGGGTTACTATCAGATGTTTCAGATAAAGAAAGGATGATATTGCGGAATTCAGCTAAGAACTACTAAATATCGGATGACCTCCTCCTACTCAGAGGTAGAAAGGTAAAGTAAATAGGTAGGAGGTATGCAAAATATATAGTGTCTATGTAGAAATTCAGAGTGCTATAGGCGAAAGTAGTAGTGCTGATTTTTGGGTCTGATGTCCTATGTAATAAGACACGATGTACTGCAGACATGTAATAACGTGTTCTACGATGTTAGCGATGTGAAAACAAGTAACTGCACACCTAGTGGGGATAGATACGACAGGACAAGACATAGGGAGGACAAGTGTGCAGGAAAATATCAGGTCCGATGCGCGGGAAACATCAGGTTCATTGGACTAGCATTGGGTTTAGTGGATTAGCATTGGGTTTTGCGGATAAACATCGGATTGAGCAGATGAGTGTCGGATAACATTGGGAAGTGATTCGTGTGCGATGGGTATTTGACATACATTGGAAAATAGCTGAATACAAGCCTAGCGCACGCTCGAGTGCTACACTGGTCTCAGCAGAAGGCCATCCAGCTATCATAAAAACACTGGATATCATTTGAAAGGGAAACTGCAAAGCCAAAGGTACTTTATCTTTTCTATTGAAATAATCAACTCTCATTATAGACAATAGTGTGGTTGAAAGACAAAGAGATGACAAAATTTGTCTTGCCTGCAATATATCAACCCATGAGTTTGATACCTCTTTATATATGGAAAGCCTTGCTATCCATTACAAACAGAAATGAACAAGCTCATCACAATGTGAATTGGGATGGAATCAACTTGACATTACTAGCAGGTATTATGCATGGTTTTCAGTATGATGTTCATGTGATGTCGAGTATTGACTTATATATTACATATGGTATCAACACTCAAGACCAGGAGGCTACACATGTACATCATATGAAGCGGGCTGTCAATTGTCACAGTGAGTGAATATCAGGTCTTATTAGACACATGCTTACCTATCACATATAGTACACTCACAACAACTGTACCTCTGCAGGTACACACCCTCAGATGATCATCCAACAAGTAACCACACAAATATCCCACTGGCAATGATGTCAACACTATGTGTAGATGCTGCCATGAATTGGCCAAGGTTTGAATATGTATTCACATCTACAGATAAACATGTGACAATGCAATTTGAGAATGGAGTGAATATTGATAGTATAGAAGATCCAGTACCACTCTCATTTTTCAGCACACTCGAGTATGCAGTGACACCTGGTGCCAATGTCATTAACTACCATGTTGCCAATCACCAATCAGCTATCGATCTGGCAATCAAAGGACTGACCTCAAGTATAGACTTAAGTCTACATCTCAGTACATTCAGTACACTGTGTAGTGCTCTACAAGAGGTTTGAGATGTATAAGAAGCAGGGTGAGCAAAAACACGCACAGCAAGCACTACTGATTTCCATAGTGGATTTGTAGCATTGGGAGGACACATGCAGCAAGCATTACTAGAGGCAGTATTTTTGTAGTGGATTTTTGGTATTGGGAGGACACATGCAGTAAGTATTACTAGAGGCAGGATTTTCATAGTGTATTTTTGGTGTAATAAGAGATAGCATCCATGAAACATTAACAATGAACTCACCTACTCCACCAATGCCTTCTACCCCTACCAGAACACCCAAATATCAAGATAGAGATATGCACAGCAAGCACTACTGGAGGCAGGATTTCTATAGTGTATTTTCAGCATTGGAAGGACATGTGCAGGAAGCACTACTAGAAGCAGGATTTCTGTAGTGGATTTTTGGCATCTGGAGGACATATGCAGGAAGCACTACTGAAGGCAGGTGTATTTTTGGTGTCAGTAGGATATGCCTAGCAAGGACTGAAAGGACTAGCAGCATGATGTGTGGTGGGCGTGATGGAAGTAGAAGATAAGAAGGAAGTTATTTGCATGTGTATTGATGACTTGAAGTAAATCACCCAAAATGGAAGCTGTACCTTTCTCAAATTGTTTTAGAGGTCCATTGGCCTCAGTTGATGAGAACTGGTTGATACACACATCCTTTCCATTATCGGCTGACAGCCACGGCTCACATGCACATGTCGGCTTTCCTTTGGCTCTATCACGTGTCCTCCCCTTGTCCTATCCATGTCCTCCCCTTGTACATTGGTATGTATTTAACTCGATTTGCATTAGACTGACAATATTTCCAAAGCTATATCATTTATATTTTCATTACTTGCATTATGGACCCTTTTTACACACTGCTGCTATCTACTCAGTTCTGAACAGTGCTTCAGTGTGCGCTCATATATACTAGATACTTACAATTTTCATGTATTCATCTATCCCCCATCGAAATTATCATCCATTTTCATGCAACAACATTTAGACTGAAAATTTAAACCTTTGGCATACTATCGCACATGTGGCTCTAACGGCCACACTAATACTCACATTTCATTCACTGCATCTATTGTCAAATGTTCCTCCCATTTTCACCACCACACCACATCACTTTCACATTTGCAGCTTTTCACATTAATCCTTTGGCTCGGCCATGCACTTTCACACTTCATCAAACCTTCAGCCACATGGCCACACATTGCACCATGCTTTTGGCAGCTCACTCACACTCACATTGCATCGGCACAAATTCTCACATTCCTCCCATTCTTAGTTACCCTTACCAGTTTCAAAGTTTCCCCTCATATTTTACTTAGAGGAATCATTCTCAGTAGCAATCCCCTTAGGCCAAATCTATACTTATGTCCAGAGGTCTATTTGAGTTTTACCCCACTTCACCCTTTCTTCTCCTTTCACCCCTTCTCATCTAGCTATCATTCCTCACACATACCAGGAGCGAAGTATGGCAGGTATTGTCAAAGTATAAGACTTGCAAAGTACAACTAAGCAAAGCCTATCAAAAGAACTCTAAGACAGTGAGATGTGAAATGGCAGCAGTCAAGCCAAACAATCATTCCAAATGAACAAAAAGGATTGATTGCATGAAGTATGACTATCCAAAAGTGACTCTACTTGTAACAAAGGAAGTGAAGTGGTGTGTGAGTAGCTAGTGAGCCAGATTATATCTTACAGCATAAAGGTCCGGAAACTGTGTTGGCAAGAACAGTAGCGAGATAAGCTATCTAAAATGTAATAAGACTCAAGGTGAGCTATTACACAGATATGCATGTAATAATGCATGAGGCATGCTGCTATACATATTAATTAAGCTTTTGATGGGCTAACAATGTATGTACCCCTAAGACATAATCAATAACAGACAAATAAAGTGAAAAATGCACCAGCATAAGTCAATATGAACATGAATAGGACATGGTACAGAGGATCACAAGTAGAAATAGGCTTCAGAAATGAACGGACAACCTTCAGATGACTCAGATGAATGCGCAGAGCTTTCAGAAAGTCAAAGGAGTATCAAGGAGTGCAATATGAGTCATTTGTAAAATTGGCAGAATACATGCCCAGCACCAACCCAAGTGCTACACCGGTCCATCATAGTAAGCAATAGTCTATGGTCCATATTACAAAACATTACATAAGGGAGAGATTCTGGTCAAGTTGTGCTCGCTGGTACTACATTCATAATCCAACAGCAATGAGAAGTGGTAATAGGATGTGAGCTTGCATTAATGTTGTACAGCATGCTGGAAAGTATAGGTATCCATGTATGGCTGATAGTGTTGTGAAACAAAATGGAAGAGCAACTTGAAGGTCAAAAGGATTACAAATGAGCAGCACAGCATGCTAGGGTGGACACCATTGACACTAAGCTGGCGGCTATTTGTGCTTTAGATGACACTTCCCCCTTGTTTCTCACCATGTGTAAGTGCCTGCTGTACAGCTGAGACATTTGACAGATTAATGCACAGAAAGTGCCACTTTTTGGCTAATTGCTAAGGTACTGTAGTGTTTTGACCTCAGGTTCGTTACAATGTCATTAGCCTGATGAACCAAACCTATTTCACCTGACCTTCCCAATAAGTAACTATAATTATAGTGGGCGATTACATAGCTCACTAACTATCAAATTAGTCATTTCTCTTAGATCCCCTACACCAGCAGTATATCCTGCCCCAAATACATAATGTCCTTAGGATTATCTATCTATGAGGCTTGGGTACATAAGTACGTTCTGTTCTGTTCTATTAGTTATATGGCAACCCCTGCTTTCTTGCTAAACAACCTGCTCCTCCTACAGACCATTCCCATGCTGCTGCTCCTCTACTCCCCCTCTTCGACATCAACCCACTCGATCTCTAGCCATGGAGCCTCCTCCAGAAAGGTCTCTGGCTTATCCAAAGCCTCCATCAGACATAAATACCACAGTCTTGGTTGCCAAACTGTGGTATTACCAGCTAGCAGGCAAGGTCAACAGAAGGAATCATCGCAAAGCAAGAGAAGACAGGAAATATTTGGTGAGTGTTCATGTTTTTGTTGTAACATACGAGCTGTTGAACATAGGATACCATAGAGATGTCTTCTGCTGACCGCAACATAGTCGAGCACATGATGTCTGATATTGGCATGGACATCCCTAATGAACCTTACATGGCGTGGCCAGGTGAAGAAGGTCTGGATATCAGCTATGAGGGTAAGGAGTATGAAGCCTTTGAGGGCTTATCAGAGCAGATCGCTGACTTATCAAACTAGTAAGTATGTCCTAGCTTAATTGACTATTTTGCTTGCTTATACTTTCAGCTGCTATGTTGATTCCCAGACATGGCACAATTACATAGAGCATCAAATAGAGCAATGAAATAGTCAACTTGACCAGCTGGTTGATTTGTATCTTAACTACTGTATGCGCAATCGTGGGGATGGGATGCTGCATATTCCAGATGCTGGTGTGGCTACTGATGGGCACTCACTGATAGACATCAACTTAGTAGACATGTTTAGTATGTTTTTTTTTTCACTATGTAACAATTTCCTGACCTTCTGCAGGTCGTTAGTAGATGTCCTTCCAACCTTTAATCTCTCATTGCTACCCCAATGAGATGCTCATCTACAATGGTTATTTGGGATGCTCTCCTCTATATCTGACAGTTGCCATTTCTATCTGAACTCTTGCAACTTATCATCAATACCATCAAACCTGCCCACAATTTAGTATCCAAGCACAATGCAAAGCGCTGTGCTATCTTCACAAAGTAGGGCTTCCCATGTGTCATTCTTTATGTAGCACTAAATGTTGTATCATAGATATCATATCAACCATACCTGAATTCACAATTCTCAGACACATATGACGTATATCTTGAAATTTTGCATTGTATTGATCACTGCTTAAATAAAGCACTCAAGCACAACACCCCCAATTGGTGCTTACTAAATGCATGTCCATGTTGTTTTTACAAACTTGACAATGAGCCTCCACAAGCAATTGACTGGATTTTCTCCATTGATGGCAATGATAGTCTCAAAAGATAGGTGTCTTTGATTTATGGCCTTACCCCCCGGGTAGATTCTTGACAAGCTCACTCTGATTACTGGGTTTATCAAGCTGCTGTTGATAAGTTCAAGGACACAGTGAGACCATCAGAGGTACGTTCATGATGTGTGTATGTGCTTAACTCAACCAAGCTTGGAGATACAGGATGATATGGGAGATCCAGTTATGGAGCAAGTGGAACCTAGTTTAAACTTCAACTGTACTGAGCAGTGGCAAAATGCCAGGCCTAAGCAATGGAAAAAAATGTTTAGTGTTTTTGACGAGTCCGGCATCTTCATTGCTACATGTTGACACCGATTTGTACTCCTCGTGTGTGATATGGTTCAGAGCAGTGAACTGTATGTCAAGTCTCATTCTCTGACACCATCATACTGATTTAAAATTTAGTACAAAATATTCCTTGGCTCTCATCAGTCAGCTCCTGCCTGTCTTTGGTGCAAATGGCGGCTGTGCTTATGATATTGGCTGTGTATTTTCCAAGACACTGGGCAACAGCAGTCTCGGTCCCCTTGCCCAAAACCTTAAGTTGCATATGATGGTCGGTGCATTTTATGGTTATGCTCACAATTGAAGATGCCAGCTATATTGGCACCCGATGTACATTGAAGGAACTGGACTAACTGAGGGTGAGAGATGCGAACATATATTCTCCTCTTCAAATGAACTCACATGAGGCACACAACATGCATCTCAATTTCATTGATATCAAATACTAGAAGAGCATTTTGCCTATGCACCTGACCTTCCTAATAAGTAAGCCTTATTATAGTGGTTTAATATGTGCCAAAGTTACTATTATTAGGCTTCATTGCAATAATACTCAACACCAGCATTATATACTGTCCCATGTATTCTAGGACTTCTGCTATTTGGTGTACATTGTATGGGTAAGCAGCTCAGCACTGTCCGCCGCCTATACTAACTGAATTCCTCATCCCGATGTGCTCTGCCATGCACCTAACCTTCCTAAATGGAGGGAGGCATTACTCCCACACCCCTCGCCCTTCACCACCACCATCACCATCATCTACTCCCACCATAGGTGTTGACAATGTCTTCCACACCCCTCAACTAGGTTCTTTGGCCATCACTATTATGTGGCACTGTCTGTTGAGCCACACACCATCATCCTGGACATCAGCACCATCTTAAGGGCACCACCACTAGCACTGTCTCTCAATGCCAGCACCATCAGCACCATCAGCACCATCTCTCAACTCCAGCACCATCAGCACTGTCTTCCAAGGGAGCCACCACCAGCATCATCTTTCAATACTAGCACTGCCAGCACCATCTCTCAAGGGCGCCACCACCAGCACCATCTCTCAATGCCAACACCATCAGCACCATCTCTCAGCGCCAGCACCATCAGCACCGTCTCTTATGCCACCACCAGTACTGTCTCTCAATGCTAGCACCATCAGCACCATCTCCCAAGGGAGCCACCACCAGCACCATCTCTCAGCACCACCACTGTCTCTCAAAGGCACCACCACTGTTGCTGTGCTACCTAGTCTGTGTATTGTACATCCTACCAATCGTATTGGCCGAAGTCCACTGTCAAACATGACTTCCTGTTGTGCATTATTACTGTCTGTGTAGGCAAATGATATAGCTGATTGTAGACTTTGTAATGAACAAAAAACATATCAATTTATTCAGACGAGCGAGAGCGATAAGTCATTAAGAAGAAAGTGGTATCTATGAACTAGAACTGCTGAGGTCCCAGTGCCAGCCCAAAATTGAAGGCAGTGAGATCAAAGTTGAAGGTAGTGGGATCAAAGTTGAGGGCACTGGGATTAAAGTTGAAGGCAGTGGGATCAAAGTTTGAAGCGCCATTATCCACATCGTGGAAGGCACCAGGGTTAGTGATGCTGGGGAAGGTACTGGGTTTGGCATTACTGTTGACACTAGTGTCAGTATTAATATTTGCATTGGTGCTGGTCTCAGTATTGGCATTGATGTTAGTGACTGGAGTGTCTTCAGTGGAGTCTGCCTCTTCATCGTCTGTGTCGACAGTCTCAATGCTCTTGTAGGTCTTCTTGCATTGGTTCAACTCTCCAGATCCATCCGAAGGCCATGCCTACTTCTTTCCCTTGTCTGAGCAAGTCCGGTGGCGATGCTTGAAGACCTCGCCATTTTCAAGCTTCTCATTGCGCTCTTTGAGGAGTTCTTGAAACTCCTCATCATCGAGCTGCCTCCACTTGATGGCAGTACTCCGCCACTTCCACAGAAGCATTTCAAGGTAAGGAAGGGTGCTTGACACTTGGCTGAGGTTGGTGAAAGGAATATTGGTAGGCCAGCCTTCGATGATCACTTGGTAGTGTTACGCACTCAAATAGATCTGTTAGGCGGAGCCCTAAGAGGGGCGTCGTCCGCTAACGTTCGTGACGTAACCGGAAGGATCCGGTATAGCAAGTGAGACTGGCGACGGCTAGTCGGCAGTGATCACAGTACGCGCGTGTCACGTGACTTGGTAGACGGATGTCTAAGAAGTCACTCAAGGTAAGGACAGTCTTGTCCGAACGATGAGGTCGATCGAGGTAGACTTAGTCGCGACGAGCGACTAAGAAAAGATACTAGAGACTGAAGCTGAGGGGGCTTCAGAGGGAAGTATGTTCCAGGGAAGATTGAGTAGATTCAAGTTAGAGAATCTAGTACAGGGTGACCAACTACTTATACTAAGTGGAGAGGGTTAAGGGCAAGGCTACCGCACAGTAGGTAAGGGTAAAGGGGAAACGAGAATGGTATAGGTGCGTTGGCAACAGAGCCGGATTAGTGATGGGTGGTCGAATGTGGAATGAGACCGAGAAACGTTGGAACGAACCAACGGTAAGAATACAACGTGCGGGAATCCGCAGTCAGAAGGAACAGAAAGAGGAAAGCCACATTGGTGGCACGAGTCAGACCGAGTCAGAGGTGCGGGACCACATTGGTGGTCGAATCAAGGGAGGAACGTGCGTGCACGTGCATAGAGGCGGATGATGCGAGGGACGGGAACGGTCCCGAGGATCCGGTCAACGGAAAGTCGGTAAAGGAGGACGAGCCGGTAGATGGTGAGGGCGAGGACGAGGGGAAAATGATAGGGGGGCCACGTGACCGATGTTACTTGTAACAGGTAGTGCTGGACAACATTATGGAAATAATTAACCCAGTGCATCTTCGCATTTTCATCCTTGATGATTTCCACTGGAAGATGTAGTCATTAGAGTAGTATGAAATAATATATTCAAAAAAACTCACCAAGTCCCTTGCTAATTTCATGGCGGATTTCCAAGTGAACTATAGAACATCGCTTTTAATGATTCTTTGCAGCGCCTGATGAGCATTAGAAATTAATGAACAAAAAGAAACTCAGGCAGGACAAAATGTACCTTTCATGCCTTGGACAGCAAATCCTTCCATCTTACTGACTAAATCTTGACTGTCGAGATTCATTACAGATGACGTAAAGTCATCTACACCTTCAGTAGCAAAGCTGACACCATGGAGAGGGAGGTCTGTGGACCTGCGCATTGCATAGAGCATCGCCTCAGTTCTAGTATGGCTCCTTAAATTGTTTAGCTATAAATTGTGTTAGTGAATCGAAAATAATGATAAGATGGACAAAAGACTCACCTCATTCTCAACAGCCTTAAGAGTGTGAGTGACATCAGTGATTTTTGACTTGGTGGAAATTTGGATGCCCAAGGCTTTCATTTCCTTGTGCCTGCTGTACTCGAGTAGAAGCTTGGCCTTCTTGTCATCAGCAAGTTCTTGATATTCTGTACGATAGTCTTTGACAAGTTCTTGTAGTACATCCTTGCCCGTCGCCCCTTGATACAGTAAGCATGTTGTCTATGGTGTCTAGTACTAGTAGTCGAAATACATACCACTTTGTTGATTTTCCTGGCGCTTCTTCCAGCAGAATGTGTTCCATGCATTCAACTTGGAACACCTGAACCTCATTAATCTGCGACCTAAGCATAAGTCATTCTGTACATGACGGAAGCTCTTGTGGTGGGAAGATGTGATAGTCTTCACGGTCTCGTCCAGACCATTCCAAGCATTGTTGAGTGCTAATTTAAAGCATTGTGAATTTTTACGATGTCAAGTATTAATGGCAGCATGGGCCTCCTTGCTGAGTGTGACCCTGGAATGACGAGGAAGTGCAGCCTGGACATGTGTGCGAGTCTGCATAGTGTGGATGAATCGAGTAGCCATAGACCTGGATTTTCTGACTGTTAGCGAACTATCAGGAGACAATTTATATGAGGACTGCGAGCACAACAGTAATATATTGAAGCTAACTATTTTGCAAACACCAATTGGTGGCTTTCAACCAAAAACAAATTAAAGGGTCTAGCACCAAAAAAAAGATAAAACAAGTAAAGCAGCATGTATATGAACACTAAAGCGCCAAGAGATGTAAACATTTGTGAAAGGAAGGAAGATGGCGGCTAAAAAAAAGTTATGGGACAACTTGGTCAATTTGAATGAACTTACAGCTGTTTTCAAAAATATGCGGAATCACAAAAGTTGAAACTCGCACATCAGAAATACCTGGCCAGGACCCCGTAAGCACTTGAGTGACAAATCCAGCACCACTTCAGAGTGCTTCACTGAAAGACAATGTCGTCGCCATCACCCTCTGTTGAGATACCTCAATTTAGGGCTACATTCATTGTCCATCTTGATACATACACAAAGACTACTATTGAAACTAATGGCAAAGCAAAGTCCAAGGAAGTCAAGTCTACAAAAGTCAAGGAACTTGTATTTCAAATCTCTGAGCCCAACTACCTCGAATTTCTGACTATCATCCGCAAAACATGACAAGTCACAATACAGGGTTACTGAGAGGAAAAAATATGGTTTCAAGTACCTTGTCGGCAATTCTCGTGGGCAAGTGATATTTGTGTCATCCATGGGGCTTGATCTTATCTCAGTGGTTTTTTATAGCCGCGTCGAAGCCATGGATGTTGACAACAAAGAAGATTATGCAGAGATGGCAAAGAAGCTCATCTCTGAAGAGCCTCAAAAGGTGAAAGTCTTTGTTGACATGAAAAATGTTGAGAAACTCCCTGTCTCTACTGCTCGAAATGAGGTATGTGGTGACGAGAATTTGTTGTGTGATTGTTGTGGCTGACGAGAACAGACTGCAGGTGATATGGCAAGCCAAGATAGCGGAGCATCAAATGATGAGATTGTAGCTGTAGACTGTACTACTGAACTTGATCGTGAAATTGCTCGTTATCACAGGCTTATCATCAAGAAATGGGGCAACAGTTATGATAACTCTGTCACATATGTCCACCAAAGTGGGATGGAGATCCCATGTACACCAGCAATGATAAAGGACTGGGCTCGTACAATGGTATGTGTCTACACCTTTGCATTGTACACTTATTAAGTATGAACTATCAAGTATGATGGGGAGGCTACCACCACTGTGCCACCCAATATCCCATATTTTGACCCTGCAAAATGTGAGCCTGCTTTGCATCCGATGCGCCGATCCACTGTTGTCACTTCGACACCTGCATCTACATCAATCAACACAACTGACATCAATTCACTCACATCTATGCTTCTTTTGCAAACTGTGCAAGACCTCACTTGTGAGACGACTACCCCTTTGACACCACACCCAGCTCAAGCTACAACCTCACTCCCTGTACCTGGAATCATATCACCTCCTGCACTGACACCTTCAATGCTCACACGTTTTTTGAAGCATGCTGAGGACCACCTTGGTGTTGCATTTGCTACAACATACGAATCTTCCCTATGTGGTATTGGTGCAGGGCCAGATATACTTGCAGAAATGGCTGACCAGGATCTCGTTCGAGTTGGTCTCAGTGCAGGTGATATTATTTGGCTGAAAAAAGGCAGCATTACATGGTGGAATGGCCCTCTTGCAAAGAATACAGCAAAACATTGTAGCACTCGAGCTTGCGCTAGGCTCGTTGTAGGGATTCATTTCTGGCTAGGCTTGGAGAGACTGTCTTTACCTTACCTTATGTTGGCACTTTGTAGCTTACATAATGAAGTTACCTTTTCACCAGTTCTACTATGAGTCTGAGTATTCAGCAAGTTTCTATCATATTTCCTCTCCTCTGAGCCTTGAGCCTGGTCCAGAAACCCTTTAGGGTCGAATAGCAGCTAGGTTCTGCAAGACCCAACATTGTTCAGACTTACCATCTGAATTGTTGTACCTTCATCGTATTCACTGATTTCCCGATACACGTTCAATGCCCGTCACTTTCCGATGTAACCCGCACAACCCAACGCAAACCCAACACTTTGACTAGCGGACACAATGTTTCAGCCGCATCGGACCCAATATTTTCCCGTGCACTTGTCCTATCCATGTCCTGTCCCATCTTGCTAGCCCCACTAGGTGTGTAGTTGATTATTTTGCACATTACTCATGTCATAGCCAGCGCTATTACATGTTTTCCCATCATCCGCAGTGCCTCGTGTTAGTTTACATGTACTTTGGACCCGAAATCATCGGCCACTACGTTCGCCTATAGGGTTCCAGTGTAGCACTCGAGCTTGCGCTAGGCTCGTATTCACTGATTTCCCAATACACATTCAATGCCTGTCACTTTCCGATGTAACCCACACAACCCGATGCAAACCTGATGCTTTGACTAGCGGACCCGACATTTCGGCCGCATCGGACCCAATATTTTCCTGTGCACTTGTCCTATCCGTGTCCTGTCCTGTCTTGCTAGCCCCACTAGGTGCGTAGTTGATTATTTCACACATTACTCACATCGTAGCAAGCGCTATTACATGTTTTCCCATCATCCACAGTGCCTCATGTTAGTTTACATGTACTTCGGACCCGAAATCGTCGGCTGCTATGTTCGCCTATAGGGTTCCGGATTTCTACATACTTACATATATATTGGACGGACTACAAGTATTATCATTATCCAAGTAGTAGGGAGCCATTTCCCGATACCTTGTGGTCAAACCCAATATTTTGTAGTTCTTAGTTGACATTGCGAATATTACCGCTCTTTCTATATGAAATACCCGTTGTTATCATATATCCGCATACCACTCACTTTCCCGACATTCACTATCGCCATTTCCGCTAACCCGCTAAAACCGAACCCAAAACCTGCTAACCCAAAACCCAAAAACATCGGACCCGACACTTTGGCATCGGACATCGTAGATATACCCTTGGACTTTGTTTCTCGCGCTCGGACTTTTGACCATTTATTGTTTCACTGACTACAGACCATTCCAAATAGCTAACCCCTCGGGTTGAATGCACTTCTCTTGCAAGTATAGCAGACTAGACTGTGCACAACCACAACATTTTTATATTGCTGGCTACTTACTTTGTGTAGTGTCCACCAATTGTTGTATCTCTACAACTGGAGCCCACCGCGAGGGGTTTCTTTTGGTTTGATTTTATTTTCGTGATTTTTATTTTGAGGACTTCCCGACAAACCCGCTGTAGAGACTGATATCTCTGGCCTTGCAGAGGCTATATATGCGACCTGTCTCAAAGTACAGTTTAATGCACAACTTGTGCCAATCCCTCTCCAATCATTTCCTATGTGAAGCGCAACTCTCCTGCGCCAAGCGACAAGCGCACGCTACCTTCCCGCGCATCGGCCGCCCCAAGCACTGCATTCTCGCGCGCGCTAAGCGCGCTTTCCCGCGCTCGAAGCGCCCTATGTCGCACATCCATCCATTGTCCAAACTAACCTCACTGGTACGTTTTCATGTCATTATTTTCATATCAGACCATATTAGACTTTAATCATTTGCTCACCATCATGTCATGGACCCTTATTACATATTTTACCTACTCTCCTCGCTACCCCTTCGGCTCCGCTTCAGGGGCGCATTTTTATACATATATAAGCACCTGTAGTTCATGTTTTACATCATCGAATCATATAGGAGTTCCCTGCACCTCACTATCAGTGTAAAGCTCATCTGTCACATGCCATAGTCAGTAGCTATTGGCAATAAGAATATCCTTAACGTCTATTACGAACCTCTCTTATAAACCCACCTCGTGCTTCTCCCACGCTTCGCACCGCTCAAGTGCTCCATAACGCGCTCCGTACTCATGCTCGCGCCTCACGCGCTTTCCTGCGCTTCACGTCGGCCGACAAACAGCACCCTCTGCACCAATCCCTAGATCCTTGTTGCACTTGCTTCCCCTTTAGGGTCGAATGCACTTGTCACTACAAGCATAGCAGCTTAGGCAAACAAGACCCAACACATTGTTCGTATATGCCATCTGAATTGTTGTACCCACACCGCAATTCGGACCTGACAGACCCGACATATTTTCCCACGCTATGCACATCTCACGCGATGCCCTGGGTATGCCATTTAGCACTGACATTTCAGCCCCCAGGTTTACCGGAGACACATATGCAATTTTCGCATTCCTGCAATCTGTAGACCGACTAGGACAAGAGAACAAGTTATCAGACACTCAGCTTATTCAGTATGCTATCAGGTATAACCAATCCAACAATAAGGAGCTATGGGCAGATTATCCAGAATCAGTAGGAACATCTTGGATGGATTTTGCTAACGAAATTTTGTCATACTACCCAGAACAGGACATAAGACAGTACACTTGACCCAAAAAACACGGACCCGACGGACCCGATGAATCTGAAAACCCGAAAATATCAGACCCGATTCTCAAATCAGTTCAGTTATTGACGAAACATTTGGATTTATTTGTAGGAGTTATTGAAATGGAAACACTAACATCAGACGTACTAGGTTCAGAGCTAAAGCCCCTAGGAAATGACGTACCCAAAATACCCGAAACATCGGCCGACGATTTCTCCGAAATATTGGATATCAACATCATAGTTTTAGATCACAAACTTGTTTCACATTCTTCGGAAAGCACTGACAATCTCATTCCCACAGCATTCTTTGTTATATTGCTCACCAGTTATGTTCTTTGGTATAGGTATCAGTCCGAAAATCCATGTCCGAAAGTCTGCATGTTAACATCCGAAACACCCGAATCATATGTTCCCGTTACCCCGAAGATATACCCCTATCACCCGCAGTTTTCTGTCATAGTTTCACCCTCCCGTCACCCATCACATCGGACCTGAAATATCTGAATCCATCATCCGGGTTACCAACACTTTCAATACCCCCATCCATTGCATTCCCAGATCGTGTTTTATCAGTACGAAAGCCGACGACGTCATTACCTTAGGAAAAAGCTATAGTCTGACACCCGAAATTTCGGGTCATATGATATCCAAAAAATGCGCACATATGTTCATACAAGTATAGCAGGTTTTACCCCAGGTTTTGACCAGTGTTCATTTCTCATCACCCGAAAACTCCTATTCTCATATATCTGCACTTACACTAATAGTACACAGACATTTCGGACCCGAAAAACGCGCTAATAACCCCTATTTATGTAGCTTTCATCTTCGAACCACACCCCGCACACGCGACCTTATATTTACATAGAAAACCCGAAAATCCGCAAGTCCGAAGAAAGAAAGTCAAAAGTTGCACGAAGAAGTCAAGTCAGATGGTAATCTGCGCCCCTAGTATTGCCTTGATCATGATATCCGAAATTTCATTTCGCACTTACAATTATGTTTTTCATTGTTTTTTATTAGACACCCTAGTGGGGATGACCTAGCATCGAGACACGAGACACGTGTTGGAGAATCTGTGTCATTTGTTTGTGATCGTTGTTACAGTAACATGGCATGAGTCCCCTGCCAGCAGACAGCCCTCTGCCACCGCACGGCTATAGACGATACCGGAGTCTCACCAGCTCTATGACGATAGATGATGATAGACGATAAGCGGCAACTGCCGGCTTAGATAAGCGGTCTGGACCGCACGTGACAACACATGACGACATAGGTCTAGAAGACCTATTTATGTTATCAAGATAGAAGGCAGGCCTCGTGCTGCCTCATGTACTGATAGAAGGGTACCGCATGGACCCTATCTACGATAGAAGCCCGCCTCATGGACCCTATCTCTGACTCATGTAGATAAGCAGATTAGAACCCAGCTTTAGGCTGAGCTTAGATACGAAGAGTAGCCTTATATAAGGTCGAAGATTAACAGTAGACGTTCCTTACTTTAATCTTACTAGGTTTACCCTTGAACTCCTTGTCCCGCTAAAGCTACCTGCTCGACATCGACTCGTACCTTCAGTGACGCCTCTCACTGTCTGTAAACCCTGCTATCATCTCAGCGTAACCCCTCGTTAACCACCACGAGCTACGTTCGAGTACGCAACCTTTGCTTGTCTGTAAAGGCCGACGACTCTCAGCACTCGGTACCACTGTCGTGGTTGTCGCTGTTAGATTATCCTAGTCGCACACAACCATTTGTCGTAACAATCGTTGTCCTTCTTCCAGACTGATTAACATTATGATAAAGTCTGGGATGCAACCTTTGCCACTTTGTACCATATGGCTACTGCTTCGTATCACATGGCTGTTACTTCTTATCGTATTCAAGCTCCGTCTTCCTCGCATAAGTATCTTGCCTCATTGCTCGCGCACCTCAGTTTTTGTTCCCCAACGCTGAGGTGCGCATCTTGTCTTTCTTGCATGCAGCTTCATACTTACTTGAACTTTAGCGTACTTTCTACAGGTACTTCGAGCGCACTAATATAAGTTGTTGTTCCCCAATGCTGAGCGTACTTTCTACAGGTTATGAGCCCTGTGTCCTAAGCGACACAGAAACCGGAAATATACGGACTCCCTCTTGTTGGAGCAACTCAATCTTTCTCTTCCTCTGCTCAAATTCACTCTGGCGTGTCACACCAACAATGGGAAAGTATGACCACATACCAGAACTGATGGGAGCAGACAATTACATTCCCTGGGAGACGCAGGCGCAGCTCGTCTTAACAAACAACAATCTCTGGTGTCATGTCACCAAGAATGCAGGCCCGGGTGACATTCTTGGAGTGGCATCGGTCCTGCCTGTAGCGGCTGTTCCGGCAACTCCTACCGATGCCGAGAAGGCAGCCATCCGAGCCTGGCTCATCAATGACTCCAAGGCCAAGACCATCATCCTCTGTAAACTCGCACCAAGCATCCACCTCCTCATTCCTCGTAACACATCAGTCACAGCGCATGAAGCATGAAAGATCCTCAAAGATCACTTCCATCGTAACAACGTCAGCTCCCAATTTGTCATTCGCAGGCGGATTCAGGTACTTCGCATGAAAGACGCACACAATGCGAGCAACTACGTCAGTCAGCATATCAGTTGCCATGATTATCTTATTGGCATGGGGGCTACCTATTCTGACGAGGAAGCCGTTTTCAATCTCCTTTCCAGGCTGCCCACATCCTCTGCTTGGCAGCTGTTTCACACGCAGCTCGAGCAATGCATGCACGACAGCTTCTCGGCTACTGTCATCAGTTCCGCACTCAGCAGTGGAAATCCCATTTCTGCTTCATTCCAGACTAACAGTCTCACATTTGAGAGCTGCACGGCACAAATCACTGCAGAGGCTGTGCGCATGGTCAACACTCATTCCATTGGTGCACCCGGCCCTGGATCTGAATACGCCAACTCTGCGTCCACCTCTTCCGCCTCCAATGTCAACTCCATTACCGGTTTGAGGAAACACAAGAACAACCCTCAAGGTATCTTCTGCCTGACGACTGGGTGCGGACGTGGAGATCACAATAAGGAGCATTGTTTTTGCGAAGGAGGAGGAATGGCAGGACAGGCGCCCTGGCAAAGGAAGAAGAAAGAGACAGCAGTGGTCACATCAACCGCACCTCCCACTCCCTCGACAGCACCAGCAGACTCTCCACCTGCCATAACTGCACTGGCTGCACACATGCATGACCTGTCATGCACAAGCATTGAACAGCTGCACGACGAGGTCCCCGACACCTCAACTCTCGCTCACACATTGTCCACCATTTTGGACTCAGGCACCACCAGCACTCTCGTTAGTGACCATGCTATGTTCTGGACATACTCTACCCAGGATCCTGTCATCGTCAAAACAGCGAACCATGGGTCGCTTCACACATCCGGCCGTGGTGATTGCGTTGTGTGGCTCAAGATTGGTGGTTCCCGGCATAGGGTACAATTCTCAAACTGCCTTCATGCACCCGGGGCCATGTTGAACCTTCTCTCTGTCGGATGGATGTTAGCTAAAGGATGGGAAGGTAACTTTTGGGGTGAGCCAGCTTGATGTGAGCTTGTGTACAAAGGAGCATCGCTTGGGGCAGTTCCCATGTCAGGACGTCTTTTCTATGTGGACCTTGAGTTCATCCCTCCTCAAGAACTGACACCTCTGGTTGCTGAACCATCAGAAGTGTCTGCTTTTGCATGCATTCCGCTGACGTACGATCTCTGGCATGCTCGCATGGGTCATAGCGGAGGAGAGTCTGTCCATCATCTCCCTCATACTGCTCACGGCTTTTCCTTAGACTCCAACGAAGCTATGTCACATTGCAAATTGTGCATCATCGGCAAACACCCGTGTCAGCCTCATCCTATGTCTCTTTTCCCCCCTGCCTCTCATTTCCTCAAGTTAATCCACTCCGATGTTTGCGGTCCCATTCCTGTTGTCACTCCTCACCATAAGCGTTACTTTATCATCTTCCTTGGTGATCACACCAGAATACTGGACCTTCAGCTCTTGGCCACCAAGGACCAGGCCCTGGACGCATGGAAGAACATTCGTGCGAGGTGGGAAACTCGTTCTGGGTTGCGTGTTGTCGCCTTTCGCTCAGATAACGGGGAGAATTCCTCAGTGACACGTTTACCGCTGAACTGCAAGCAGCTGGGATTGAGCAACAGCTCTCCGCACCATACTCACATCAGCAAAATGGGAGAGCCGAACGTGTCCTTCGCACAATTGAAGCATGGATGTATGCTATGCTAAATCACGCACGCCTCCCACGCAACCTATGGGGGGAAGCAGCTCTAACCGCAGCATACCTGTTTAATCGTACTGAGTCTCGTGTGCTGCCTAGTGGGAAAACACCCTATGAAATGCTACATAACGCTAAGCCCAATCTTTCTCATATTCGCGTCTTCAGTGCATGCTGCTTTGCACGTATTCCCTCTGAACTCCAGGAGAAGCTGGGTCCCAAATCACGCGAAGCTTACTTCATGGGTTATGTCCCGGGTGGACGCACATGGCGCTGTAGGGATAAGGCGACAGGCACCTTCTTCAACTCCTGTGATGTCATTTTTGACGAAACGTTCTCTGGCAGACCTTTCCCTACAGACAACGATGACTCCGACAATGAAGATGTGGCTCCCACTACTCCTCCCCCTGCCTCCTTACCGACTGCTCACGCACCTGCACCATTGCCTACCACAACATGTCGCTCAGAATGTGTGCGCCTGCCCACTGCGCGTGGACAGATCTTCCAGGAGCAATTGGTTTCTGACCGTGATCGATTGGCCTGTCAGCGTGAGTTACGACAAGCGCACATCCAAGGGGTGCCGCTTGAGGGGGTGAACGTCGTGCCTGTCCCCTCCAATGATGTCACCGCTGACTCAGACCCTGACGCCATCGTCCCAGACAAGGATGAAGTCGGATATCCCCATGTACTTGCTGATCTCATCGCCACTGAATTTGCATGTGTCACCATTCGTAGTGATACTCGTCATAACCCACTCACTGCAGACTACAACATGAAAATCCCACCTTCCACCTTCAACGAAGCGATGCAACGTTCGGATCGTGACAACTGGCTCAACGCCATGTGCAAGGAAATCAATTTAATGTCAGAGATGGGTGTCTACGAGCTAAAGGAGCTTCTAGAGGGATGTAGGGCGATAGGATGCAGATGGGTCTTAGAGTTCAAAGAAGATGAGAAAGGTGGGCCTGTCCACAAAGCCCGTCTAGTGGCGCAAGGATTCTCGCAGGTACTGGGTATTGATTTTGGCAAGACATTCGCACCTGTTGCAAGACCATCCTCTATCCAACTCCTCTCTGCACATGCTGCAGCCCATGACTGGGAGATCGACAGCTTTGATGCGAAATGCGCCTTCCTATGGGGCAAGTTATGCGAGGACATGTACATGCGCCAACCGCCCGGCTTCAAACGTGGATCAAGCCTGGTGTGCCACCTCTTATCTTCACTGTATGGACTAAAGCAAGCCGCATATGACTGGTACGAGCTCTTATGTGCTGTCCTCACACGTTTAGGATTCCTCTGTTGCGAAGCCGACTACGCCATCTTCATGTATGACCAGATCAACAGCAAGGGGGTGCATGTCATCTGCATCATCACATGGCACATCGATGACAGTCTCACAGGCTGTAATAATTGGAAGTTCCTTGATTGGATTAAGGGTCATATTGCGGAACACTTCGGCATTGCAGACTTAGGACCAGTTGTCAAGCATCTCAGTGTGCAGTATGTTTGCTCACACACTACGTGAGAGCTGTGGATGCATCAACAAGACTATATAGTTTATCTCCTCAAAGAACATGGTCTTCGTCACAGCAATCCGGTCTCACTGCCAATGGACCCAGTATTTCCTTTCGGACAAGACACAGATGTCCACCCTCATATTGCCAATCTCCAATCTGAGTATTGTAAGCTCATCGGAGAATTACTTTACCTCACAATGTATACCCGTCCTGACATTGCCCTTGCCATCATGAAGCTATCCCAACATAATTCCAACCCCAAACTTCGTCATTACGCTGCTGCAAAGTGTGTACTTCGTTATCTCTCCGGGACTCTGTCCTATCGTGTGCACTACAGAGGGAGAAATGCAGACACTACCATCCATGGATTCAGTGATGCAGATTGGGCAACTTCCCCTGAGGATCGCATCTCCATTACTGGATATGTTTGGTATTATCATGGCGGTCCTATCTCGCACGCAGCAAAGAAGCAGACAACCCAAGTGTTGTCCTCGGTGGAGTCAGAGTATATGGTGTTGATGGGGGCGATCCAGGATGGACTCTGGATCAAGTCCTTTTGCGAATGGTTGAAGATCGCCTTTACTCTTCCTCTCAAACTCTATGCCAACAACATGGGTGCCATTGCACTGTCTGCAGAAGCCGCTAATCACACCAGGACAAAACACATCAACTTACGCTACTATTTCATCAGGAAGCACATCGAGGCCAGCACCTTCTTACCTATCTGGGTTTCCACTCATTGCAACAGTGCTGATATTTTTACCAAAGTGCTTCCGCGTCCCACATTCGTGGCTCATCGCTTTGGTCTGTCTCTCATGGCGGGTTGAGGGGGTGTGTTGAAGAATCTGTGTCATTTGTTTGTGATCGTTTTCCTTCTTCCAGACTGATTAACATTATGATAGAGTCTGGGATGCAACCTTCGCCACTTCATACCATATGGCTACTGCTTCATATCACATGGCTGTTACTTCTTATTGTATTCAAGCTCCATCTTTCCTCGCATAAGTATCTTGCCTCGTTGCTCGCGCACCTCAGTTGTTGTTCCCCAATGCTGAGGTGTGCATCTTGTCTTTCTTGCATGCAGCTTCATACTTACTTGAACTTTAGCGTACTTTCTACAGGTACTTCAAGCGCACTAATATAAGTTGTTGTTCCCCAATGCTGAGCATACTTTCTACAACACGGACACAGGGGACACAGGACGAAATCGGAAATTTTGGACATCACATCGGACCCGATGCTTTGACCTTCGGACATCGGAATACATTATCGGACATCATGCTTTGACATTCAGAAACGCATCGGATACATTGTACAGCTATGGAAATGCTAGGTGGTAGTACAAAAGTGCAGAAAGATGTTGAAAAACAAAAGTATTCAGTAACGCGCCTTCTTGTTAACATGCGCCCGCATCATGTCCAGATCATTCGCAAGATCAGACATCAGCCCCTGGATAGTGCGAAACTTCGCATAGACACTCTGAAGCTTACCCGCCATCACCAAGTCATCTCCCCGCAAACCCGAATCCGCAAGTGCAAAATCCTCTTCCTCTACATCCACCAACTTCCTCTTCCGAGTCGGAAGACTCACAACCGGTTTTGCCTTCGAAATGCACGAGGCGGAAGGCATGTCTTCACCTTTGGAAATTGTAATTGGAGGTTCAGATCTGCGCAAAGACACGACTTTAGAAGCCGCCATCGGCCGACGCACAGATGCTTTGCCTTTGGCACGCCCTAAGTACAAAAACGTCAAAACATCGGAAAATGCGAAAAAGAGACAGACTCACCAGAGCGAGAATAGGAACACACTTGTTTAGCATTCCGGCACTCCATACATCCGAGACCTTCAGGTCCGACGCACTCCGCATTGCGCTTACCGCAACATTCACAAGGAGGATCATGAATGACAATCCTGTCATTGGATTCATCATCCTGAAAGATTTAGCCTAAGTCAAACACAAAAATTTTGGACTTACCTTCGGCGCAGGTTGCTTTGACTTGCGGAGCCACATTGGCCGCTTCATCAGAACTTCGGATTCTTCGTCCACTTCTTCTTCTTCTTCACCCTCACCATCCATCGAAACATCCGCCGGTGCACTTTGAGTTACAGCCTGACAAGCGGCCACATCCTTGACAATTTGAAGCTGTTCCACAAAGTGGTCATGGAGCTTAGTCAGCTCCTTACCCTTAGTGATCTCCTCCGCAGATAGCACTAGCGCAACGCCCCTATCCGACGCAGTTTGCATGATTACCGAAATATCAACCTTTGGAAATTAGTGCGGACACCTGAAAATCAAAGTGGATCTGATGTACTGAGATTTTATTCCATCTCCTGCACCAGTCCTCCTTTTCTATCAGTAAATCCGGCTTGTTGTCTGGCGCACATTTGCCTTCCACATCCATCTTTTGTCAGAGTTCCGAAAATCCGTGAATTAGGGCTTTGGCCTCAGGAGTTAAGACTTGCACAGTGTCAAAGGGAGATGCCATAGTGAAAGATGATGAGGGGGGAAAGAATGAAAAGAAGAGAAGCGCCGTTGTCAAGGGATCGGGTTATATGGAAAAATTGCGAGAAAGCTTCGGCCGCATTACCCGCAGTCATGTGACCTTTGAAACCCGCAGATTTGGAGAAGTCTTCCCGCATACTGCTGACTGAGGACAGTCAGTATTCAAAGCTCCTAGGAGATGTAGCACTCGAGCTTGCGCTAGGCTCGTATTCACTGATTTCTGATACAAGTTCAATGCCCGTCACCTTCCAATGTAACCCGCACAACCCAACGCAAACCTGATGCTTTGACTAGCAGACCTGACGTTTCGGCCGCATCGGACCCAATATTTTCCTGTGCACTTGTCCTATCCGTGTCCTGTCCTGTCTTGCTAGCCCCACTAGGTGCGTAGTTGATTATTTCACACATTACTCACGTCGTAGCAAGCGCTATTACATGTTTTCCCATCATCCGCAGTGCCTCATGTTAGTTTACATGTACTTCGGACCCGAAATCGTCGGCTGCTATGTTCGCCTATAGGGTTCCGGATTTCTACATACTTACATATATATTGGACGGACTATGAGTATTATCATTATCCAAGTAGTAGGGAGCTGTTTTCCGATACCTTGTGGTCAAACCCAATATTTTGTAGTTCTTAGTTGACATTGCGAATATTACCGCTCTTTCTATACGAAATACCCGTTGTTATCATATATCCACATACCACTCACTTTCCCGACATTCACTATCGCCATTTCCGCTAACCCGCTAAAACCGAACCCAAAACCTGCTAACCCAAAACCCAAAAACATCGGACCCGACACTTTGGCATCGGACATCGTAGATATACCCTTGGACTTTGTTTCTCACGCTCGGACTTTTGACCATTTATTGTTTCACTGACTACAGACCATTCCATACAGCAAACCCCTCGGGTCGAACGCACTTGTCTTGCAAGTATAGCAGACTAGGCTGTGCACGACCACAACACATTTTTATATTGCTGGCTACTTACTTTGTGTAGTGCTCAGCAATTGTTGTATCTCTACAACATCAACGCAGTGATACCTCTGAGTCAAATGTTTCTGAATTGAAGAAATTCCAGTATGAGAGGAGATACCATGATGGGGGACGAGCATGCATCAGTGGAAGTTGTATGAAATGTGATGAACGTGCACCTGGTGTGTAGTTATATCTCAACTCATCATCGTTATGCAGTCTGATGAGCAGTCAGACAAGCAACCAGAACTCGACTATGATCTTTATTACTTCTGCGAAAACAGGCAGAGTTGGGTTATCTTCCCTCCAGGGTACACGTTCGAGTCCGAGGGTGATCGTGAAGATGTAGAAGATTCTTTTATTTAGAACTACAACACAGTGGAACAACTATGCAATGTATCCTGAAGCACAGAAATATCCTTCTGCCTTGTCAGGTGTGATGCCTTGGCATGCTCATACTATGCTTATCAAAGACTTGTCCTCGAAATGGCATCATAAATAAGCCTTGATAGACGAAAAGGCTTGTTCAATAGGGTTATAGTCAACCAAGTATGGAGGCAAAAATACAAGCTTGCACAAGGCTTCTTCCTCAACAAGACGACAGACTTCATCACTATGGTGAATGCAACAATTGTCTAAGACTAGTACACTGCGCGGCCCAGGGTATGGATTAGTTAAAGGCAGCTATAGTGAACAATCAGTCAACTTAAAATCTATATCACGTTCACGAGACTTACCACATGTTCACGCAGGAATTGGACAAAGCGCTCACTCGTGACTGGTCCTTCGATAATGTCATAGGCAATGATCCCATCAAGAGTCAGGATTGGCAGGATTTAGTAGTGTTTGCCTTGCACGAAACATTTCCTTTGGACACACCTTGGACAAAATGGTCATTACATACCAATAGAAGCAAAGTTTGATGTACCTTGTGCCAATTTTTGATCTCCCATGGTGTCAAATGATTGTTCTTTCATCTTTTGCAGCCTCATCTCCGAACATCAACATTTCCGGGTCAGGTGCTATCTCAGCAATACTATTCATGAAAATGGCACATAGTTCCTCGTTCCTTTCAAGAGCATATGCCGAAATACACTTGCGATTGACATGCAGCTGACGAAATGTGCGAAAAAGTGTTGGTATGGACACAAACACACCACGGCAAGAGCGCAGTTCATGTTGTAGCTCATCAAGATAGATGGTGGGACGATGACGAAGGATGGTTGTAATGAATCCGATGTCATTGACAGTGAGGCTGCGACGCTGGCCTTGATTGCTGCAGTGGTACTGTGAAACTAAGGGAAAAAGTTGTAAGACTTTATATATGAGAGTTTTCTTGACCCCAAGCAGATGGCATATATGCTTGACAGAATGCCCACGTCGACATAGAATAGGAATTCGAGCTTTCAAGTCTGCTGAAACAGTGCGTGGTGGCATACTAACTATGACAGTCAGCATTCAATGTTCAGCGCTGACAGCGCACTGTATTGCCTCAAGTGCTTACGGGGTCCTGGCCGAGCATTTCCGATGCGCGAGTTTCAACTTTTGCGATTCCGCATATTTTTGAAAACAGCTGTAATTTTGAATCGAAATAACTTAGCATCCATGAGCCTAGATTGATTGCCACTGAAAAGATCAGAATGGAGCAATCTACTCAGGTTTGATGCCTGCTCATAAGTCAAGTTCCACTTCAGAGACCGAAGCACAGCCTCCCAGCAGCTACTGCGAACAGAGCCAATAAGTTGATGAAGGTTCAGAAGCACCCGATCATCAAAACCGAACCGATCAAGAATGGTATCAGTGTGTGGACCAATACTAATCAACGGGGCCCCCAAAGATGCTGCTGTACCTGTCAAATTTATCCCATTAGTACCAAAAACTGATGTGCCAGTAACTGCTGTGCCAGTTGCAGTCCCAGATTTAGCTACATGCTTGAGGAGAAATGCATCAGCATCACGGTGCTGGCGAATCTCAGGTGTGCTGTCGCTAGGCGAAGTGCGAACAGAAGTCCAGTCTGAAATATTTTTTGCCAGAGGTTGACCGATTTGAACGGCAGCCGAGAGTGCCTTGTTACCGACTTCAAAATCACATTTGAACTGTTTGGGAGGGAGTGCTGAACATTGGATATGTGCACCTGTAGCCATCAAGGGTGCAGGTAAAAACATTGGTCCAGACGGATTCACCTGACCCGCTGGGTCTTAAGATATGAAAATGTGTGAGCTTACAAATGTGAATCTAGAGAAATTTCAACTTACAGTGCCAGGGAGAGATGATGCCTTCAATGTGACAATGTTCTGCAAATCACTGCAGGTGGGGGACTACAAATTTCTCACTGAAAGCCTGCACCAAGGTCGATAAATCTCCTCCGATACGCTCTGGCACTTCATGATATTTGTGTGGCATAATGTAGAGGTCAATCGTAAAGTGTTCGGGGGACAGTGCTCCTGGGGCTTCAGAGCCAGCGCAATGCATGATAATGGAAATTCTGCCATCAAGACGGTCTTGCATAGTGATCTAGTCATGGTCATTTATATTGTTAGTTTACAAAGATGAAAACAACAAAAACCCACCGCATCAAACACATCTTGTAATGTTTGGTTCATGAAATCTTCTTGTGTGATGGACCATTCATCTGATGTTGTGTGTGAATTTAAGGTGATGTTTGATGGATGGAGGCCACCAGGCTTCCAGGTATGAAAGTGCGTGCCATCAACGTGGGCATCGTGTCTGAGTAGTGCATGAGCTGCTGATTGTCATTCTGCATTACTGAAACCTTGAGTGAATGGACTTGAATGTAATGCTGCTAAGCTTGTCATTGAGAAACGAGGTTGTATGTACACCTGCACTGGCATCTCTGCAGCAATTGCAGTGATTGTTGGTGATTCTGCATGAGGTTGACCAGTTGTGTTTTTCCTTCCCCTACTAGTGGGAGTTGAGGAGGGCAAATTTACAGAATGAACCATGGTTGGTTGGTTGAAGCATTGCCAGTGAGAGGAGGCTTTGAGACGTGTGGTAATAAAATTATTGAGGCCTTAACCGATTAGCAATATGGAATCAGTCGAGAACTAGATTTCATACCTTGGATCTCCTCCCAGATACTGTATGACCACGGTCTCAAGATATAGCACCCACTAACACTGCCGCAGCCTGGCAAGGGCACTGGCATATCTTGTAGGTAGTAGTAGCAGATGATATGTAGAAGGGAATACATACCTTATCATTTCTCCCAGATACTGTATGACCACAGTCTCAAGATATAGCACCCACTGACACTGCCACAGCCTTGCAAGTGCACTGGCATATCTCATAGGTAGTAGCAGATGATATGTAGACAGGAATACATACCTTATGATTTCTCCCAGATACTGTATGACCACAGTCTCAAGATATAGCACCCATCTCTTAATAAACCAGAACCAGTCGTACATCACCCATGTATTGTTCAAGTTATGATAATATTATTCAGAAGTATAGAAAACATCAGGGGTACAAACTATGATCTATCAGACACAAAGTGGCAGTAACAGTCAGCCCACAACAGAAACCAAAAAATGAGCGAAATCTTCTATAGTCTGAGCTTGCTCTTCATACTCAAGGATATCCCCACTGCTCTGTTCTGATGTGAGAGCAGCTGCCCTCTACTCCGCATCATGATTGTTGCTGGTGCGGATAACAGGAGATATTTCTGCATAGTAGCGAGATATGTCAATTCAAATAATGGAGAGCAGGAGATGCACCATGACTTAACAATGTTGACACACCTCAGAGTCGAATGCTGATTCCTTGTTGTTCAGAAAAGCTTGCCTGTGATGTGATTTGATCTAATCTAAACAGGTGTACCGCATTGACAGCAGCACATTTTTGCTACTGATATTGCAGCTCGAGTGCAACTGGCCGGTCTGATATGAGAAGAGTATTGATGGTGGCATTCACCTTGAGCTCCTTGTCATGTATGGCTGTACACAGCCGGCGAATTTCAATATTTAACCTCTGGATTTCTTCATGAGCACGTTGGATCTTAAAGTACTTCACCATAGCTTCACGATAAGCGGGTTTAGTCCAATCTGAAGTGCGGACATCAGAACAAGAGTGATGCAAAAGATCAAACTTGCCCAGAAAGCTATACTCGACAACATTTTTCTACAACAGCAGCAGTCACAGAGGGATCAGAGCAGCAGCTTGAGTATTGTACTGGTTCAGTGCATTGCATATTGCCTCTGAACATCGTTGTAAAGCTTTGCCAATCTGTTGGCGTAGTTTGTAGCCTAATTTAAAAAAAATGGGAATCAACACTCTTGCAAAACGACTAAATTTACCTGTTCCTGAAAGTGAGAGCTTTGACAGCTCGAATAAATGCATCACAACAAGCCATTTGAGTTCATCAAGTACTGTACAATATTTTAGTAGTGAAGCTTCTTGACAAAAATGGTTGTAGGGTTCACTTCCAATCTCCCACTGTTTATCGATTCCGAGTTGGATTTCCAAGTGTGAGGCCATCACTTCCACATTCTGAAGCTTTGAATAAGCTCCATCAACACAGACCCGAGCTTGGTTGAGAGCGACGTGCATTTCCTGAAAACCTCCAACATGAATTTCCATGAGAGCACGATTAGCAGCTTCTCACACTGAGTTCCACTCCATTCTGTTTATGTCATGAGCAACCAAATTAGTACTAAACTGACTAAATAGCTTACTGTCGCTCTGCAACTTCATCAAGAGATTGAACATACCGAACACTGATTTTATCTTTGACTGGCAGCTCTTTCAAACCATCCAGATATGAGTGTTCTTGCTCATGAAAACGAAGGAAGTCTGCATCTGTAAGATCGAGAGTGTCTTTGAGGGCAGAAAGTTCAGCAGTAAGAGTGTGAATAACTGTCAGAGCTTCTCGGTAGTGATTGCATAAAAATGTGCCTACATATCAAGTTAGAATTGGCTCCAACTGTCAAAGAGATAACTTACTAAGGGCCGCATACTTGTCTTCATCCCAAAAGGAGAAGTGCTGTTCGATTGTCTGATGCCAGTGAAATGGACTAGCATGGCGAGTATTGCATGCAAGCTCGTTTGAGGATGAAAATATATGTTCACAGCCTTCGCCCTCCGTGTGGCCAGTACCATCGATGTACACTGGGTGCCAATCAATTTGGCACCTTCGGTTGTGCACATGGCCATAAAAGGCCCCAACCATCATCCATAGATTGAGTTCTTGTGCACAGGGTCCCAGACTACTGTTTCAAAGTGTTTTGGAAAATGCGCAGCCAATGTCATACGTGATTCCACCATTCTTGCCGTAAATATTGAGAAGATGATCTATAATGGCCAAAGGGTATTTTGCACTTAATAATATGTTAGCATGGATGACAACAATGTCAAAGGTGTATGAACAGTTCTCCACTCTTCACCATATCACAGGCTAAAAGGATGAACCAGTGACGACAAGCTGCAATAAAGATTCCAGTTTCATCAAAGACCGAAAACATGCATTTATGTTGGTCTGGACCTGCATTGCACCAACAGTCAACACAATGGAAGGATCCTGACTCTGGCTGTACGACATCGCCCCAGTTATCGTCATTAGGACCCTTTGAGTTTGAACGATTAGTCTCGTAAAATTGAATTTAGCTAAACTCACTGATTGTGTTTGAACACTGTTCTTAAATTCATCGACCTTTACACGACTGAGCCAATAGTCAGAATGACATGTCTGTGAATCATCGCATGGACTTGTGCTATACATAGATGCCAACCATCTTTTCAAGCTATTATTGCCGTCGATAGTGGCAAGCCACTCAAATGCTAGGTTATCTTCACCCTCTAGTTTGTAGAAGCAACACAGACACAAGTTTAGAAGGTGCCAGTTGGGTGTATCATGCTTCAGCTCTGCTTTAATGATACAGTCACCGACATGGTATAAGATCTCAAGGTAAATGTCAAACACATCCAAAAATTGTGTGTTGAAATATGGTCGGTACAGAATCTATGAAAAGCAACATGTAATTGATGCAGACAATATTGTTATATTGAATGTTCATACATCATGCAGGTGACACAAGGCTTTGCATTGCGCTTGAATGCTAAACTGAGGGCAGGTCCTATGAGATTGTCGATATGCTGCAAGCGTGCAGAGGGAAATTGTGATGGTTGGGTGAAGGGAGAGCAGCCCAGGAATCCGTGGTATATAAGACTTTCATTTGGGAACTTGTGGAAGCTTTGAGGCCGCAGAGAAGTGCGTCTTAGACCTGCATATTGTGAATTATTGAATATGAATCTCATAAAGTGAAAAAAAAACTTACTGAATACATCAACAAGTTCGATATCCTCAAGGGATACATTGTCAGCATCATTACATATTGGTTCATCTTCGCTTGAAAGACATGGCATGCCGTCGCCACAATCCCGCGTGCAATATTCTAAGTAAGCATGGACAAGACAGTCCATCTGAATATTCCAATTTGCATTCTGGACGTCGATACAGTCCTTGCATGTGCGCAGATCCACATAGTGGCTAGCATGCATCAACACATTTGTATTGGCAAATGTAAAAAAAACTTACAAGCCAGAGAGATCTGCGATTTTCTGAGCTAGTCCTTCGAAGGCTTCATGCTCCCCACCTTCATGGCTAAGATCTCCTCCCTGTTACAAGTAACATCGGTCACGTGGCCCCCCTATCATTTTCCCTTCATCCTCGCCCTCACCATCTACCGGCTCGTCCTCCTTTACCGACTTTCCATTGACCGGATCCTCGGGACCGTTCCCGTCCCTCGCATTGCCCGCCTCTATGCACGTGCACGCACGTTCCTCCTCTAATTCGACCACCAATGTGGTCCCGCACCTATGACTCGGTCTGACTCGTGCCACCAATGTGGCTTTCCGCTTTCCGTTCCTTCTGACTGCGGATTCCCGCACGTTGTATTCTTACCGTTGGTCCATTCCAACGTTTCTCGGTCTCATTCCATATTCGACCACCCATCACTAATCCGGCTCTGTTGCCAACGCACCTATACCATTCTCGTTTCCCCTTTACCCTTACCTACTGTGCGGTAGCCTTGCCCTTAACCCTCTCCACTTAGTATAAGTAGTCGGTCACCCTGTACTAGATTCCTTAACTTGAATCTACTCAATCTTCCCTGGAACATACTTCCCTCTGAACGCCCCTTTGGCTTCAGTCTCTAGTATCTTTTCTTAGTTGCTCATCGCGACTAAGTCTACCTCAATCGACCTCATCGTCCAGACAAGACAGTCCTGACCTTGAGCGACTTCCAAGACATCCGTCTCAGAAGTCACATGACACGCACGTACTGTGATCACTGCTGACTCACCATCGCCAGTATCACTTGCTATACCGGATCCTTCCGGTTACGTCACGAACGTTAGCGGACGACGCCCCTCTTAGGGCTCCGCCTAACAGATCTATTTGAGTGTGTAACACTCCCTCCTCACCAGGAGGTGCAGTGTGTGGCGTGTGTTCAATGTTGACATCGAGGTCAACTAGCATCATCTCAACAGCCTCACAATCCCTAACCAACATCTCTGCAGAACTGAGAAAGACATCATGCAAGAAAATAGTTACAGTACCTTGTACGCATGATTGCCACTTTGAATTTGCATCCTCCCTCCATTGGTTTTGCCGCCCCACCTTCAATACATCCCTTGTTCAAATTGAGCATCTAAAACCATGTTTGATGGTGGACTTCGACAGCCCTGTGATATGCTTTGATGATGCCCCCATCATGAATGATAGGTAGCACGGCAACAATGAGTGCACTTGAGAGACAGTGCTGATGGTGCTGGCACTGAGAGACAGTGCTGGTGCTGGCGCCCTTGAGAGATGGCGCTGGTGGTGCTGGTGTTGAGAGATGATGCTGGTGGTAGCTCCCTTGGGAGACGGTGTAGCACTCGAGCTCGCGCTAGGCTCGTATTCACTGATTTCCCAATACACGTTCAATGCCCGTCACTATCCGATGTAACCCGCACAACCCGACGCAAACCCGACACTTTGACTAGCGGACCCGATGTTTCAGCCGCATCGGACCCAATATTTTCCTGCACTCTTGTCCTATCCGTGTCCCGTCTTGTCTTGCTAGCCCCACTAGGTGAGTAGTTGATTATTTCACACATTACTCATGTCGTAGCAAGTGCTATTACATGTTTTCCCATCATCCGCAGCGCCTCGTGTTTATTTACATGTACTTCAGACCCAAAATCGTCGGCCGCTACTTTCGCCTACGGCCTTCTGGATTTCTACGTACTTATATATATATTGGACTGACTACGAGTATTTTCATTATCCAAGTAGTAGGGAGCCGTTTCCCGATACTTAGTGGTCAAACCCGATATTTCATAGTTCTTAGTTGACATTGCGAATATTACCGCTCTTTCTATCTGAAATACCCGTCGTTATCATATATCCGCATACCGCTCGCTTTCCCGACGTTTGCTATCGCCGTTCCCGCTAACCCGCTAAACCCACACCCAAAACCCGCTAAACCCAAAACCCGAAAACATCGGACCCGACGCTTTGGCATCGGACATCGTAGATATACCTTCGGACTTTGTTTCCCGCGCTCGGACTTTTGACCGTTTTATCATTTCACTAACTACAGACCAATCCAATAGCTAACCCCTCAGGTCAAATGCACTTGTCTTGCAAGTATAGCAGACTAGGCTGTGCACGACCACAACACATTTTATATTGCTGGCTACTTACTTCATGTAGTGCCCAGCGATTGTTGTATCTCTACAATGGTGCTGATGGTGCTGGAGTTGAGAGACGGTGCTGATGGTGCTGATGGTGCTGGCATTGAGAGACGGTGCTGGTGGTGGCACCCTTGAGACGATGCTGATGTCCAGGATGATGGTGCGTGGCTCAATGGACAGTGCCACATAATAGTGATGGCCAAAGAACCTAGTTGAGGGGTGTGGAAGGCATTGTCAATGCCTACAGTGGGGGGTAGATGATGGTGACAGTGGTGGTGAAGGGCGAGGGGCATGGGAGTAATGCCTCCCTCCATTTAGGAAGGTTAGGTGCATGGCAGGGCGCATCAGGATGAGGAACTCGGTTAGTATAGGCGGCAGACAGTGCCAAGCTGCTTACCCATACAGTGTACACCAAATAGCAGAAGTCCTAGAATACATGGGACAGTATATAACACTGGTGTTGAGTATTATTGCAATGAAGCCTAATAATAGTAACTTTGGCACATATTAAACCACTATAATAAGGCTTACTTATTGGGAAGGTCAGGTGGAAAAATGGGCGGACAAACCTAAACATGTGACATTTTGTTCATATGCAAAAAATCTGACTTATAACCTATATATACTGATGCTTTTTAGCTGCCATGACAGATTTGAAGATACAACAGAAGTGCAACTCCCAGAATCAACAAGTTTGGGACTTGGAGATCCTCACTGAGAGGTTTGTGATGAACCTGTCATACATGCATTAGGTAATGCGATGCTAAATTTCCCACGAACCTAAGGTCGAAACGCTACAGTAATTCGAAAGCTTGATGATCGGACACAGAAGGCGGAATGAACCTGTAAATGAATAATATGTCGTACAACGTTCGATGAGTGATAGATGTGAACGAAATCCTAGAGCTCGATGTACTAGTGTAGTACACCTGGTTATAGTAACGTGGCTCTAAATAGTCAGATGTATTCGATTATGCGCCATTCGGTCATCATTCAACAGAGGTCAGACTACCATAATCCGTGGCTTCCGTTCCAGATACGCTGACCGTTCCATCGTGATCACTGTCTCCCTCATCTTCATCATCGTATTGTGACTCTCCGGTTACCGTAAACATGCTAGTACTGAACTGGAGGGCTCTTGGGTTTGGGCCAGAAAACATTGCTGTTACTCCAGTACCTTGATGTGTGTAGATCCTTGAGTGAAAACGAAACTATGAGCGGGGTGACGAATCACCATTGAGGGAGCCAAATGAACGGCTGGAGCTCGGTGTCTGTGATACGGGATTCGGCGTGTTTGTGGACCGTCTCGGTGTCCCAGGACGTGAAGCAGTTGATGCTGAGTCACGCCGGAGCACGTCGCCAGCGGATCGTCGCCCTTGCGTAGTTTCGTTGTAGCGGGTGGGACGAGGATGTGCAATGTCACTTGGGCGCTGGTGAACTCCGAAAGAAGGATGTCTCCGATCCCCTAACTCGAAAGATCGTGAACCTTGTGAAACATCGGCAGGAACAAAGACCTGCTGATCCTCAAGGTCGCTATGAGAATTCTGGGCGCCAGCGCTTGATAGGCCGTCCGCCGTCTGCGACGGAATGCGATGGAGAAGTCCAAAACTATCAAAAATAGTCAGTCTAATGATCTCTTTGAATTATATATATAAACAAACCCGAAAACACATCCCAACAGTCCTTCGCCACCCCAATGGCGATTGGGCACTAGTACAACCTCTCTGAGATTACTGAGAAGTGGCAGGTCAGAGAAATGCAAGAAACGATCTACAGCACCAGAACGTACTCGAAGTCATATGAATAAACATAAACTCGCAGCGGCTTGTCAACATGCTGTGAATACAAAATGTTTAGCGGCCCAAAATAGTACAAAACCCAGAGAATGTCATACAGCTTCCACGACATCGTAAAAATCGTTCTCCGCGGTCAATATGCCGCCGGACCATCCTATTATCCAGTCACCGTATGGGACAAGACCGGCACTTTCTGCTGGACTTCCTTCTAGGACTTCAAGAACGTGCCAAACATTGTTCGTCGCATTCTCGAATTCGCACATCCGCATGCTCAAACCCAACAAGGAAGGCTGGGGAGAGTTCTCAACGTCATCTTGTGGGATCGATGCTTGTTGTGCCAAAGCCCAAGCCCGCGAGGGAACAATTGGTACAACTAAGTTTAATCACATTACTAACGCCATAAGCATATCGTTTGAGACTAGACACACCTCGAGTTGTGCGCGTTTTACTATTCCAGACTAAAAGATTAAGCGTCTTCTCCTCGTGCTCTTCTACTATCCTTTCGAGCTCTGTAGCATCTATGTCGCTCTCAGCGTAGAAAGCGTCACTGCCATCGAAGCCAACGATGAAGTCGAAGAATGGCTCTATAGACGTCTGCGAGGCTGGTGATGAAGCAGTGACTCGTAAGACATGCAAGGCATGGGATTTTTGTGCCTGTGCTGCAGATGTCGATGATTGTCCTGCTCCCATTAGAGTCTACAGAGAAACTTTAAGTCTTACTACATCAATTGCAACGGTGTTCGAGACAGTAGTACTAAATACATTGTTTGTCATTATTTGTTTTTAACCCTCCTTGAACCCTACACCAAATTTTCTTCTCCAAAGCGCGAGTCGCGTTCATTCGGGGTGTCGATACTATTTCGTCGACTGACTCCATGCGGCATGCGGTGAGCCAGTCCGCTTGTTTTGTAATTTATCGTGGTTTGAGCTGATATTCATTTGAGACAGCTAACTTATGTTACTTTGTCGCCGTTTACTTCCTCGAGTACACACCCCGATCCGTGTTTACGCGCAACAATTAATTGGCAGCCAGATCCGTGGCAAAGCTGTATCTCACTCGAGACTTGCCAATGACACTGTGCATAATGCCTTGCCGGAGGCTGTGGACTTGGCGCCTATGCTTCACCGTACTTCCCGTGTTGAGAAAGAGCTGTTGGAAAGAGTTGCGTGCATTTCAACATGGTTACCTCCACAGGTGCAGAAGAGGTCTGCAAAAGTGGAGAAAATGGTGGAAGCTCTACCCGACCCTTTTGCGGCCTACGCGGAACTGCGAGCACAGGATAAAACGCTGGCCGCGTCTTTGCCGCTCCCCATTCTTGTCGCTCTCTCTGAGAAGGCCACAAAGCATGGACTATCGACTATCGTGGATGGTATTGCTACAGACTTACTGGACGGGATTATCACCACCTCAAACCGCCAGCTCCGAGTCGCTACGGCGTTGCTGTCAGCGACACACCACAATCCGCCCATTCTTGACAAGCTGAAAATTTACTCCCTCCTCAATCTCCTTTATCAATTCCACGCGCTTTCTGAATTAAGTTCCGTGACTATCTCCGCATTAGTCAAGTGTATTGTCGACAACCCCGGCATAGATCCGTACGATGCAAAGGCCGTGGATATCCTCCTCCCTATCTTCCATCAATCTCTTACAAACCAATCTGCGCCCAAAGGTGCGAAATCTATGTCCTATCGCCCTCCGGGTGATGTTTTCATAGCTTTCGGCCTGGTTCATAAGTTGATCATATTCGACCGAGACAGGCATGCGCTCCGCCTCTTCCAGACTCTCACCGTGACCTGCCATATCCCAGCAGAAGCCTTCACAGAAGTGTATCATACGTCTGCAAAGGACAACAATTTCGCCTTTGTGGTCAGGTCGACATTGGTCAGAGCCTGTCTCCACTGGGGCTGGTATCATCGTGCACTCGACATCGTGGTCACTGCAATCCGGACCCGGGATTCTACTGATATCGCACTCATTGAACTGGCGCTTAGCACGCTACACCTTGCTCTGCACAACGCATCTACCAATTATTTCAAGCAATGTACATGGCTTATATGTCATCTCATTAATTCCGCCGACAGTGTTATCGTCCCAGATAACATGGTTCGCCTATTCTACGACAAAGCCATGCACTTGCAAGATGGTTCATCCGCGGAGATTCTCTACAAAAATACACAATCCCCAAGAGTTATTCGGAGGATGAAGTACCCTCTTCCACGAGGATATTCATTAACGTGGCTCATGAATCATCTTACGATCACCAGCCACAACATACACCTGGCTCGGACATTAGCCAAGCAAGTCATCGACGAGATGGAGCCAATACCAGTGCAAGACCGGGCTCATTTCATTGCCCTCACTGCATCCCATGGTTTCTCCTCCTCCGCACGCACACTGTGGGAGCGTTATTCCGTCGGAAGGGATCGCGAAGCGGTCCTTGGCAATGCTTCCTTGATGCTTCGCATGGTCAGCATCTTTTCCAAGCTCATATATCACACCAAGGCCGAGATAGAGGAGCCGACATCAAGTCAAGACGAGGGTAACCCAAGCACAGCTTCGACGCTCGACGAGCGGCAGAAGCTATTGGAACACTTGGTCCAGTTCGCCGAACTGGTCGTTGGCGCTTTTCGCATGTCGAAAGGCTCTCCAGAGGAAACGTCTCATTATGATTTGAGCTCATTGGCTCGTGCCTACATTACACTTGGGCATGTTTCCGAAGGTCTGGATATGCTCAAAGTTCTACTTCAGCGCTACGAAATTCCAGATCTCTACGATATTAACATCGCACTATCCGCTATGGCTGAGCTTCATCCGAAGAAGGCAGTGGGCGTCCTGAAAAAGATGGTTGAACGAGGCATACGCCCTGATGCAGTGACGTTTGGAACCATTATTCACCATGCCATCCTTCACGGCGAGATGAGGCTTGCAGGCTACTTAATTGGTCGTGCCAAAGAGCTTGGTTGCGAGGAGCTGTCAGCCAAAACCACTGCTTCGCTTATAAGGGCGAGTGTCAATGCGGACGGGGCTCCCAAATCGATTTTGAAGGAGAATCTACAGCGCGCCTGGGAGATCATTCAATCAGGGGACGTCTCGAGCGTCGTGCACACGCCCAACACCGGGAAATACTGCATTTTTGCATCACTCCGCCTTGATGACCCGGTGATGGCGTTCAAGTTCTGGGAGACGCTGGTGAAGGAGAAGACTGAATGGGGGGACAGGAAACAGGTGTTTCAACGACGGCTTATTGCCGATATGATTCAACGACATTGCCAAGAAGGTGCGCTGAGTCGGAGTCGTGGTCGACAAATGCTAGCTCAGTTGAGAGAGAGGAGGGTACTGTTGTAGATCGTTATGCGGATCGCAAATTGTAGACATAAACTATTCACCCTACATAATGACAACGAGTAGCTGAAATTGCGAAATTACCTGAGTAACTAGATTGGTACATATCGTTGGCTGCCACATAGGAGGACGGTTATTTGTGTGTATTTTGATACTTCCTAAATTGGGTGCGGGGTAAACGGGCCGTGTATCTTTGGGTGTGCACTCGCCTCAGAAAAGCTCTTGTCTTAATTTTGTCTAGCTGGGAGCCGGCGTACCTGGGCCTATAATATCTTACCCTGCTGCCAAGAAAAGCACACGAGAATTACTAACCAAGTACCCTCATTAATCACCGTGACTACAAGAACTCACTCGTTTCCGGTTCCGTCTCCATCAGCACCTCAGAGTTTCATTGTCACGCATGCCTGCTGTGCGAGCAAAAAAAGACGCTAAATCTGTCTCGCCTACATCGTGCGACGCAAGTCCAAACGAATCTACAACCGCCGAAAACAGCAGAGGCCAGAGAAAGTGCGTCCGAGTCCTCATAAAGACCGATGTTTCTCCGTTGAGCTTGAAACTGTTCCCCATCCCATTCATTCCTACCTCCTTTGCGTCTAACCCGATTCATATAAACTTCGTAGCCGAGTCGAGCCTGATCCAATACTATCGGTGCAAATAGCAAGCTTGTCATGTCATTTTTTTCTCTGCTTTGGTAAAGATTCAATGTTCTGACTTCAAATCCCCTTCTGCTTTCAACAGGCGGCAATCTCAGAGTACGTTTTAGCGCTCATTTCTCCAAGGATGATCGAGATTGAGTTACTCCTTCGCTTCTTTCGAACAGGCTGTGATGCTTGTAGAGCCAGAAAGGTCCGATGCGTCCGAGAGAATCTAGAAGATTCAAAGCAGTCATGCAAACACTGCATAGCGCTTGGAATACCCTGCACTTACGATTACCGACCAAAAAAGAGAGGGCCTCCCAACTTGTAAGTGCTCCCCCAGGGCCACACCCTTCCCTCGATACCAATGCTAGATCCTTAGATATCTCCGTCGTTTACAAGAAGCTGCCGCTGCCGCTGTTGCAGCTCAATCTGAGCAGAATAATCAAACAAACGATGTTGCATCAATATCGCCTATCTCTGCTCACCAACCCCTTGCCAGTCCAATACATTCAAGTCTATCCCCATTGCAGCAGCCCATACAGCCCCCTTCCCTGGAACCCATCATGGCCCCAATCCAGACTTCTGCTTCCATCATCTCCCCATCTCGATACCCTATCGCGGCCGACTCATATCATAATCATTACTCTCCTGTTAATACGATTCTCCCGACATCAACTAGTAGCGCCCTACTCCCTCCGAAGACAGACGATAATCAATCATACCCCTTTTCCGAGACATATGGCGGATTCCCCGCATACAATTGGTCTTATAAACAACATCAGTCCCTCCCGGTTCTAATTCCGAATGTCATACCCCCACTTTCATATTATTACCGACCTCACCGCTTGGAAGATATCGCTCCCCGGGACAGTATTTCACTCATTATCGCTCTTTTCTTCGATTTTGTGTATCCGCTAACCCCATGTATCCACAAGCCATCGTTCATGGCGGACCTGCACACCAAGAGAGAAGAACGCGACCCGCTATTTTTTGCTCTTGTCATGTCCACAGTAGCATCAACCTTGGTGCAAGTACCACGATCTTATGTACCGATGGAGCGCTCTGTTGTGCGAAAGCTTGCGCAAAGATGTTATGAAGCCAGCCGACATATCACTACTGCAGCCTACGACCCTCCCATGTCTATGCACGTTATTATCCGATACTTGTGCGTGGTTCGGTTATTTTTCATGACTACCTCAATTCATTATTGCCAGCGACTGTATCTACCATTTTTGCGAAGGTAATGATGCCGCGCAGCACGCGGCCTTCGGCGAAGCGGCTCATATTGCCGTTACTCTACGCATGCACGAGGAGTCATCCTACGAGGGGCTTGACCCCATTGAATGCGAGGTCAGACGGCGAACATTCTGGTTACTTTTTGATGGTACGTTTTGGATTATCTCATTCTGTATCATTCATCGATGCAAAAACATCATGTTTGAATACGCACAAAATAAAATTTAACCTTGAGATCTGCAGCTGACAAGTCGATGTCGATTCTCTTGGGACGCCCCATATGTCTTCGCGATGAAGATTGCACTGTCCACTTTCCGAAGGAACTCGATGACGAGTAGTAGGTCACTTTTCTTTTCGCCCGAGAATCAACCAAGCTTATCATTTGTGACTTCTCTTTTGAGCATCATTCACAGTGCATACCTGCCTCAGCCGCGTGGCAAGACAGCCCTGGTCTCAGGATTAAACTACATCTCCAGGATTTTTGCACTTCTCGGTGAAATATTAGTTCGTATCAGAGT